CACTCTTGAACGCCCTAGACAGAGAGTTTTAATCCCGTCTTGGAATTTGAGTGTAGTTTTATCAGCTTTAAAACCCATCCTTTTGAACCTGCTGAAAAGGTTGAAATCAAGTTTTTATCGTATAAGTGTTGTTTTCTTCTTGCCTTGGCCTCTGGTAGAAGAAGTGAAATTCATGCATGTTCCACTGCTGATTACTGCCTTCGTTTTAAAAGGGATAAGTCATCTGTTACTCTATTAACGGATCCAGCTTTTTTAGCCAAAAATCAAATTCCGGGCAGAGGTTCAGAACCGATAGTGAATCCAGCCCTTCCTAATGATTCAAGTTCTAAAGTACTCTGTCCTATCCGAGTCTTACTTTTATATCTTCAGAGAACATGGAATCTGCGCACCTCCTCAATTCCAGGTTATTTATTCCTATTAACAAAGGAAAACAAGATTTGTCTGCTAAAACCATTTCAACTTGGATCTGTAAAACTATTCAATTAGCTTACAATTCTTCTAATGAAGAACTTCTGAATAGTGTGCACATTAAAGCCCATGATGTTTGAGCTATTTCTACCTCCTGGACCCTTTTTAATAACGCTTCTTTAGAGGAAGTCTTATCTGCAGGTTTCTGGAGAACTGAAAATTCTTTCAGTTCTCACTATCTGCAGTCTTTGTCTACTCAAGCTCAGAGTTTGTACTCCTTAGGACCTTTAGTTTCCGCACAAAGAGTTTTCCTCCTGCATCTTCTGGTTCAGGGGATTCAGCTTTGCGTTATCTAGATTCCATATTTTACTCAGAATTTATGATGGTAAAGTATTTATTGACATAAAATTGTACATTTTTAAAGTAAAATGAGATTTTATTAAATAAATACTTACCATCATAAATTAAAGGTCCCTCCCAACCTCCCCTTCATCCCCTGATTTTTTCCTAGGGCTTCTTGCTTACTTTAGGAAATTAAATGGATGATATAAAGGCATGGTTATATGGGCACTGCATGGTCATCCCTCTTCTCATTGGATATTTTTATTTGGACTTGCGCAGATGGATGTACTCAGAATTTATGATGGTAAGTATTTATTTAATAAAATCTCATTTTACTTTAAAAATATACAATTTTTCTCAAATCCAATACTAACTCCAGAATGCTTGTATTGATATCCTTAAAACTTTATATTATTGTTGGGATTATAAAAGGAAGCTCCTGTTAATTTTTTAAAGTTTTTTGATTCATGATTTTCGAGTTATGAGACTTTCACATGTTGTATTATAACTTGTGTTTGCTTTGACTGATTAACTGGAAACTTTACATAATTGTTGGAATTGGTGAACATAATACACCCTTCAATTTAAAAAAATAATTCCAAAGTTAATGTGGCTTTGACTGTCTTTCGATTTTGAATATTCTCTTAATGGAAAGCTTAATACTAAAATATATGATAAAAGAGATGATTTTTCATTTCCTATCGTTAATTATCCATTTTTAGATGGTGACGTTCCCTTGTCACCATCTTATGGTGTTTAGATATCTCAACTTGTACGATTCGCTCGTGTATGTAACAACATATTAGATTTTAGCGAAAGAAATTTATGTATTACTGAAAAATTATTACACCAAGGTTTTCGATATCATAAACTAGTCAAAACATTTACTAAATTTTATCATCGGTATAAGGACATCATTCGTAAATATAACTCAACATGCAGACATCTTATACGTTCGGGTATTTCACATCCAATCTTTTATGGTAATATTCTTTACAAAGTACAAAAATGTCAGTATTCACCTCAAAAGCTAACAAAACCTTTAAACAGACTTATTAAGAAGGGATATAGTTACGATACTGTTGTCAGGTCATTAAAGATTGCATATTTTGGCTTTAATATTGATTCACTTATAGGGTCTTTGCATCGGAATTAAACATATTTATTCTAAAACCAGTTGTTGGCATGACACGGGTTATGTTTTTCTCATATATTTTATGACGGTATAATACTAAACCCCTAACAGGAGGGATTGTGCCTGATATTCATATGATGAAGACATAATCTTTCAATCAGTTTAATTGAGGTCTGGAGCTGGCATGTCAGTAACTGCTAGTAGTCTGTTGTTATTTATGTATTATTGTCATTTTGTTTATTTTCTTTTGTTTCCTATTCTGACATCGGACTCGGACTTCTCTTGAACTGAGTCTTACTGTGCGTATTGTTATGCGTTTACTTTTCTACATTGGCTAGAGGTATAGGGGGAGGGTTGAGATCTCAAAAAACATGTTTAACCCCGCCGCATTTGTGCGCCTGTCCCAAGTCAGGAGCCTCTGGCCTTTGTTAGTCTTGTATCATTTTTAATTTTAGTTTCTTGTGTATAATTTGGAGTTTATTATGGCGTCCATTATCACTGAACTAGTATACATATTTGTTTAGGGGCCAGCTGAAGGACGCCTCCGGGTGTGGGAGTTTCTCGCTGCATTGAAGACCCATTGGTGGCCTTCGGCTGTTGTCTGATCTATGGTCGGGTTGTTGTCTCTTTGACACATTCCCCATTTCCATTCTCAATTTTATAGTTTGTCATTCATGAGTTTTAGTACTTTTAAGTCATATTTGACACAATATTGATAGTCTGAAGGATATACTCATGTCTGCTTTCATTTCAATATGCACAATAATGGCATACCACCCGATCTTAGCACAGCTGTTTATGAGCTATACTACATGTACTAGAAAATATCTTTGGTCATCATTTGAAAATGGTCATACTCTGATTGGGCTCACAAATGAAATATGAAGCATAAGATAACTGGCTAAACTGACAATTTCATTATAAAATTATATTGTGAAAGTACATTTACATTGTACTTTATGTTGGTAAAAAATTTTCATCGTTTGTAAAAATATTGTGGTTAATTGTACTCGATGGATAAAATGTCTTTTGTTTGCTACAAGATTTCTTGGTTAGTCTAAGGGACGTCCCATCATTCAACCATGAAATACAGGAAAATTAGTACCCCATGAACAATATATTTATACAGTAGAAGATGTTCCTTTTTTAAGGTTTCCATGTAAATACCTTGGATGCTGTATGTTATAAACTGTAAGGCAAACAGATGAAAAGACAAAAGTGTATAACTACATTTAATGTTAAATGTTACAGATTTTACAAAATGAAATTTCATACAATCTTTAATGAAGTGAATAAATATTGCACAAATACTATAATATAAAACTTCTAACATAATCAGACTGTAATGGCTCATACACATTACTGTATCATGTAACATGGACTTGTGTTGCTAAAAGTGAAAAAATACAATTAGTCTACAATGGCTTGTACAAATGATTATAGTAACAATGTTCTGGTAAATGCTATTAACTCAGGCACCGACAATTCATCTTTTGGAGGATGCATGTTTCTTTTTAAATAAATTATGTAATTATCAATTTCTTCAAATGTATTACTTTGTTTCAGAAGGAAAGTAATTTTTTTTTTTTTTTTTTTTTCCATTGAAATTAAGGGGAAAAATCAATACAACATAGGTGTTTAAAAAAAAGTTTCTTGTTTCGGTATGTTATTGAAAAAATTAATTTGTTTTTGAACAGAGTAAAAATAAATTATCTAAAGAAACCCCCCCCCGCCCAAAAAAAAAAAGCTTAACATGCAAATTTTCATTTTGAAATTAAGTCTACATTATTATATAAAAGCCCTGTTTTGTGAAGTACAACTGATAGGATTCAAAACTTAAGAATCTGTTCATATAAATTTACATTTCTACTATAACAGACAATTCAGTTGAACTTGTGGAATACAAAGCATGCATTCTATATCATAAGGCAAAACTATAAATAATTAAGCATACAACATAAACAAAATTACAATGAAGATATATGAAAGCAAAACAAGCAATCTCACAAAACAAAAACAACTTTGGTGATTTAACATGTGCATTTACAAAACTAACAACCTTGGATTTAAAAGTAAAAGTATACATAACTGTGGGACATCCAATACATGTACCACCATACAAGATTTATTCAAAACAGTAGCCTCTCTGTAGGGATTGCACTTCTTTGTCCCCTTCCCTCCCTGAAGGCAATCAAACCCTACCCTCCCTGAAGGCAATCAAATCATCATATCACCTTTTGTCAACTTTCAATCTTTAGTTTACATGAAAAGGTTTATATTGTCAATGATTTAGATTTTGTATTACATACATTCATTTGGTGACTTTGTAAGCCTCCGAGCACACAGCAAGGAAAATATATTTAATCAAAGATTGGAAAGAGTAAGAATTTTATTGAAAAGTCCATTGTTCCATATTACTGTAACTTTCCACACATAAATAACTGAATTCAAAATTCGATGTTTTTTTATAGCCTTAAAACCAGATTAATGAAATGTCTTTCTTTTAAGCATGCAATTCTTACCCTCGTTCAGTCATGTCTCCAAATGGTAAATTCATTATATAAAATTAAAGTATATGTGTATTTCAGTTCAGGTTACCATGACAATAGTGAAAAATTTAAGTTTCACAATAAAGAACTAAATCTACATCTCTATAAAAATATAATTTAAAGCACTATAGTTTGCTGGTGATAGATAACCATGAGGTATAGTATTGTGTTTTGATTACACCATTAATGCAGCCACTGTAAAAATTACATTTTACAGTAAGTTCCATGAGTATTTAAAATTCCAGACCAAATCCACTTTAAAAGAACATACCTTGCAAGGAAAAAAAACCCACATCAAATACATTATAATGTAGCAGTTAATGTTTTAGTGTTTTCTTCATAGTGGGTCTCATTGGGGTCTAAGCGTGACGCGGGATTGCCGATTTTTTGTAAGCGTGACACGTGAAAGTCAAATTATAGTGCCGTGAAAACGGGAAATGAAGTCTAGCGGGATACAGGAAATTACAAAAAAATGAGAATTGCTTACGTAGATAGTGTAAGCGGGATACGGGAATCTGTCAAAACAGTAAGCGGGATCCGGGATCAAAACCCCCCAATGAGACCCCCTTCATAGACTGAATTAAAATTATTTGACTGAATATAGATCAAGCCTATTTTTTTCAGTTACATGTTTGATCCAAGATGCTTATATAATTTTTGTTCTATCTTTGTTACTAATGGGAGGTTTACTGAGTATTCAAAATATGGTTTCCTTTAAGTCAAATCTCAATTATTTGCTGGATTTTGTTTCCTTCACTTGTTAGTGCTTTTAAAGTGGAATGATCTTCAATATTCTGAAATATTTTGTCATTTTCACAGAAAGTATACCCTCTGTGCAACACACATAAAATATAACAAGAAATATCTAGTACAACATACAGTATCATTTAATTTAGTGATGCCTTTCATAGGACAATCATAAATGCCCACAAATGGTTATTTTTTTTTAAATGAGGTGTATTTCTGACACTTGGACATTTTCTATCATTCTTTTATTTTCTTCAAAAAGCCGATTTCTACCTTCAACTTGCTCATTCAATTAGCTCAGTGTAACAATTATCATGAAGTTCATGAATTTACATCATTTTAACATTTAATACCCAGAATAATATCATCATGGTGACTTAAGTTTACAATCACCGACCATTCACAGGAATATCTCCACGGTTATTCGGTGGACATTTTGTTGGATTAATACATCTGCCTTCATGTAAGACTTTATCTGCCGGACATTGACAGCTTGCTTCACATGGTTTATAGCACTGTTCTGGCATATCACTAATGGGTGTCTGATAATTAGAACAGTCACGAGGACACACAGGACCACACTCATCAAACACAAATCCTTTCTCTTCTTCACAGTCAAGTGCTGAAAATATTTAAACAAATAAGGTCTTTGTAATATCTAAAAAATATTCTACCATTTGGGGAATTTGGTATCAATGGCTAATCTTTGATAGCCTGTTTGTCTCAAAGCTCTTTTATAAATTTCATGACCGATTAGAGCTGGACATAATGTAGACACCTATCTATTCTTAAAGATGATGTTGACTTCTAAACGTCTTTTTTATGTTGTTGGGTTGTTGTCTCATTGATGCATACCTAACACCTTCTTTCATTCAAGTTAGGTAATCTGTGATCTTGAATCATACCCCTAAACCTTGCTATAATATTTTTAAATGTTAAAATAAAAGAAAAGGTCATTATGACATGATTTGATGATCCATCTAAATACTCATTGCATGATAAAAGTATTAGTGAAAAAAAACCTTCAAATTTGACACATTAGTGGAGAATACAATGTCAGTCATTGTGACATACTAATACTCAGACACAAAAATGAAAAAGGCTCTAAAGGGTGCAACTTGGTTAAGGTTTGCCTTTTTTATGAGGTTAGTGTACATTAGAATTTGCACTTGGAAAAAAATAGAACATAGATTTTTTGGGAAAACAGTTTTTCAGATTTCATGAAATGTGATAAGAACGTCTACGTATGATGATAATGATCAGCATAAAATATCAATCATCTAGCAAGACCATGAGTGCAATTTCTTTGATAAAAATGGATGAAAAACAAATGGATGAATTCTGTGATTAATAAAAAGAAAACACTGGGCTACTCATATTCAATCTAGATCCCTAATATTAAATGGTCCAAACATAGCTTTCACGTAATTATCGATTCAAAATTGATACCTTTAATTAATGATAATATCTATTTTAAACCACCAAAAAATTATATTCCCCTAACAAGACCATCCTAGATAAACTTACCACATAACCCTTCTGACCTCCATTCCAGCCGTACACCATTCCTAGCACACTCCAACACATAGGCCTCTAACAGTTCACATAAACATGACTCCTCCACACCACAAGCACACACATCATACACACAGGAAGTGAAGAAAGCTTGAGGATTAACTACTCTATGACATCGACTAAACTTTGGTCCCTGAAATGAACAATCCACATATTTATCTTAGTTCTGAGAATTGACAGAAAATTCAAGGAAAAAGTGCATTCCCCTTTTACAACTTTTTTTCTCTCTTTCATTATTCTGATTTTTATTTTCTGCTGACTACTGAATCCTATCCTGTTATTCAAGGATTGTCTTAAGCTGCCTAGGTGGCTTGGAACATATTATTGTCTGAAATCTTGTTTAAAAACAGTTTAGATTCTTGGGGTCTGTAGATATGTGTAAAACTGAAATTTCATAAGATCAGTAAAACCCTATTTCATAATACCAATAAAACATTTTTAGATTCAATTATTCTTTTTTGTTTGTTCTTGCTTTCCTTATTGTTTTTTGCTCATTGGAAACATTCTCATGAAGGCTGTTCTACCACACACACTAAATAATTAATTTCACATTTGATATCTTACTGTTAGTACAGAACATTGTTGTTGAGCATATTTTCTGGTACGGAAGATTTGAGCATCACATGGATCAAAATCCTCTGCATCTCTACACCTTGGATTCAACTGAGATTTAGTCTGGAATAACAATAATTATAAATTGCTTAAAGACTCAATTTTATTTTATGACAGAATTTTCATTAGATACAGTCTGTACACTTGTTTAAATAAATTTTTATTTCCTGCAAACACATTTTTATAAATTTCAGAGAAAAATGAATCAAACTAGAACTGAGTAAACATATGTTGGACAAGGAATATATTCCTTTATGCACATTTTCAGGAAGTGTTCTATAACTGTTGACCATTTCAATATTCATCCACTCCGTTAGGAAAAGTTGTCCTTACAAGGCACATGGATAGACAGACAAACAATGGAGATTCCTATATAGTCCCAAAAATTTTGTTTGAGGGGTGTATAATAATGTAATGTTCATGCAGGTTTTAAATGCCTTTCCAATATAGGATAGTATTTCTATGTCAATATCTGTATCTGTATAGCTATGTTGTTGACAATAATACTGGATTTATTACGAAACTTTTCAACTGTGTCTTCACCTTTTTGTTCATTTCTTTGATGCCAGGTAACCTTTAAAAGATTGACCTTCCATGGCAACACATTTGAAAAGATTAGTATATCCAATATCCAAAAAGAAAGGTTTATTTGTCTATCAATAATAATTGTGTAAGGTAACACTGATGTCCAGTCTTGCATTATGTCTTCATGAAACATTCAACCTAATTTCATATCAAAATAAAATTGAGAATGGAAATGGGGAATGTGTCAAAGAGACAACAACCCGACCACAGAACAGACAACAGCAGAAGGCCACCAACAGGTCTTCAATGCAGCGAGAAATTCCCGCACCCGGAGGTGTCCTTCAGCTGGCCCCTAAACAAATATATATACTAGTTCAGTGATAATGAACGCCATACTAAACTCCAAATTGTACACAAGAAACTAAAATTAAAAATAATACAAGACTAACAAAGGCTAGAGGCTCCTGACTTGGGACAGGCGCAAAAATGCGGCGGGGTTAAACATGTTTATGAGATCTCAAAAGTTTGCTTATTACAGAAATGGGTAAACTTATGAACTTCCTGATATATAGTATTATCTATCAAGTAAATGCACTATTGGTACAGGAGTGTTACTTAATTACAAAGAATCTCAATTCAAACCATGCGTGTTTATAAAATCAAAACCTAAAAAACTAAAAAAGAAAACCTACCTTCCAACTATTGCCAAATACACTTGGTGAGTTGGTTATCTGCATAGAAGAAGTTTTCATATCATCCTGATCAAATCCATTGAAGTTACCACAGAGACCACATAATTGTCTCTTGTACGTCCCTGGTACTGTTAGTGCAGCATAACTCTCTCCATTCCATACAAACTATAAAACATAAAACAATTCAGCGTAACTCTCTCCATTCCATACAAACTATAAAACATAAAATAATTTAGCATAACTCTCTCCATTCCATACAAACTATAAAACATAAAACAATTCAGAATAACTCTCTCCATTCCATACAAACTATAAAACATAAAACAATTTAGCATAACTCTCTCTATTCCATACAAACTATAAAACATAAAACAATTCAGCATAACTCTCTCCATTCCATACAAACTTTAAAACATAAAACAATTCAGCGTAACTCTCTCCATTCCATACAAACTATAAAACACAAACCAATTTCAGCATTTTGCTAGAGCCGAGTTTTCTTTGTTGTGTTTTGTGGACTGCTGTTGTCCGTTTTTTCTTCCACTTATGGGTTTTGATTGACACTTTGTATCTTCTCCTTTTTTTCTTCTTTCAAATTTCAAGCAAAAGTTTGCATTTTACTATCTATATCAAGTATGGTGTTTGTTTCTTGGATCATTCTATAAGGGAGACAACTGCATATTGATTACTGTGGATTCACTTATTTTTTGTGGGTATCCATTTTGGTGGATTAAGGAAAATTTGTATTTTCATGGCTACTTGATTTCATGGTTTTGCCAAAGTCTGCATACAAGTTAATAGATAATTTGTAGTGTGCTGAGCATTTTAATTCATGGCTAGCCTCTCCCCACAAAATCCACAAAACTTGGTATTCAACAAATAACAATGAATCCACAGTATATCATTTCTATAACTTTTTTCACTATTTTATAGGCATTGAAATTTGTTAACTTTTATTTTCAAACTCTCCTATCAACTTTAGAATATGTCCCTCATCTCACCTGTAATCCTAAAGTGGTATCCAACAGTATTGTTTGATCTTTCACATCGATAGTAAAATCTCTTCTACTTTTGTAAGGCAGATTCATTGGCAAGCCATCCACCTACAGTAAGTAAGTAATGCTATATATAATTCTATTCATATACTGCAAACACAATTACTCAAAATACAAGAACAAAAGTTCTAATGCAATAAAACTAATTTGTTTCATCATGGAATCATTGGATGCTCCCTATATTTTCAGCATCAAAACCTGGGCTATCAAGCATGCTTTGAAAATTGACAACAAATGGAAATGCAAGTTCCTGCACACCTTCAAGTAGAATATTAGAATAAAATTTTGTCATGCAAGTATGAATTGGGATCTTCATCTTGTCCAATTTTTCACTTTGATAAATGCAATAGATGATGATGATGTTGTATGGCTGCTTAATGTACAGCGGCATATTAAAATGCATATTCAGGACAAGAATATTTTAATGTAAAAATGCAATAGAAAAGACAAGCTTATCAATATTCAATTAAATGCTCTGCGGGGCGCAGCTTGATTTGACCACAGAGGTCAAACCCTGAACAGTTGGTGCAAGTATGGATACTACATTTAAGCTTGATACAGCTCTGAATTTGGATTGTGATTAAATATTTGACAGAGCATAGGTTTCTGACACAGAATGAATGTGGTCAAAGAACTGAAAAATTTGAAATCGAAATTTTACCTTTTATTGACCAATATCAAAAATCTAAATGCACAGTTAGATTAAGCATATCCAAATACAACAAAAATTTAATTTATTTTTTCATTAATGGAGGATATCAGCTATAAAGTTTTTTTGAGAAATTTATAATAATTTTTTTTTTCTCAGATTACCTTGTGATACATTTATAACGTTTTTTTTTCCAGGCTTAAAAAACTGTTAAATACTTAGAATACAAGTTTTTGTAAATGAGTGAAACACAGTACCCTGACTTCAAAGTTCTGTAATAAATCAATCCTTGTTCTTCCAATAACAATAGTAAAGTTTTGTGCCCATGATATTCCTGAGAATCCTCTGTCATGGTGTGTAACCTCTACCCTGAAAAGACAGAAAAATTTTCTTCAAAAAACACGTCAAAGAATGTGTAAGTTGCATTCTGTTAAATTAGAATACAGCAAAGTTTTGTATCCATCATACATCCGAAAATCCTGTGCCATAAAATGTGTAACTGTTCATTCTAATAACTGGTTATATGACCATGAGCATCCTAATTATGTGAAGTTGAAATAGACTTACTGCGTCACTGTGACTATTTCAATATATAACAATTTTTCATTTGATGAGATAGGTTAAATGACTGCGCTTGGACAACTTTGAAGGGTCATTTTGGAGCCTCAAACATTGCAGTTAACTCTATAAATAACATCTATTCATACAAAATCAATATTCATTTTAAATGTTAAATCTTAATGTGTTCAATTACATTTCCTCTTCATTTGTTTGAGATAAAATGTCATTGAATTTTGATTACAAATCAGAAGAATCTATTTGAATCAGTGCTCCGTGTTGAAGGCCGTACTTTGACCTATAATGGTTTACTTTTACAAATTGTGACTTGGATGGAGAGTTGTCTCATTGGCACTCATACCACATCTTCTTATATCTATCCAGAAAGTAAAGTGTCAAATAACTGTTGAGGACATTGGTTTTTTTCTTTTGACTGCTTTACAAAATTAGTTTTACAAATTTGATAATGCAATGCTGTTAATAATTCAGGACCAAATTGGTGGTCTTATAGTATTAGTCTGTCTTCCAATGTGAAACTTAAGGCTTTGATTCAAGGTAGGGTCAAACCAAAAACCTTGAAATTGGTATTTGCTGCTTCTTACTCAAGCATGTTGCATTTGGGAGTAGGAACAAAGACTGGCTAACACAAACTAAGAATAGTGTGTATAAGTACTTGGATATGTATTTCTGTCCACTGTAACTGTGTGAGCTAACAAGTTAACAATATTTAGCATGTCAGTCTGATTAAGGCAGGCTATATCAATAGCTGTTAAACATAAATTATTGTCCTGAATGTGCATCATCAGTATTTGCTGTTGCACATAGAGCTGCCATAAAACAATCTAAATAATTCACTATTCATTGCAGAAAAAACCGGGACCATTGCAGTCAGGTCAACAGTTTGCTTAAATATGTGACACAAGGCAGAACATTTTCTGACATGGAGATTATGTTTCTATCTAAGATATCTTTCTTGTCAACATTTCACCAGAAACATTTTTAAAATTCGCTTATAATCCTACCCTTTAATGATAAATATTAACGATTTACCAATGAAATGGTCTAATTCCATGAAGTGTTGCAAATGAAAATGGTCTAATTCCATAAAGTGTAGCCAATGAAATGGTCTAATTCCATAAAGTGTTGCCAATGAAATGGTGTAATTCCATAAAGTGTTGCCACTTCTTGTTACATACAACAGTACCTGAAATCTCCTGACCCTTCACAATCTTCAGACATTATATATCTACAGTTGCCTTGGAAATGGACAGTGTTTCCATCAAAAGTCTGATAATGGGGATCACCATACACAATACAACTACCTGGCTCTAAAATAAATATATTTTGAGACTGAAATACTAATATATACATATTTGTAATATATTTTTTAGATTATAAGTAAATTTCGATTTCCTATTTTTAGTAGTGCATTGTAGGTATGAATTTAAGGTAAATGTGAAAGCACCATCATAATTTCATCCATGCACAACAATAAATAAAGGTTGCATTTAAGATTATAAATTCTATATGTTACTTAAATGTAGCATTATCCTTCAAAACTTAATACCATTGATTATAATTTTTCCTGTTTACATTTTTATGAAAAAACTAAATTATTTCTAACTGATTGATTGATTTCTAATATTTTATGCCACTTGGTTTTATCAATACGGCCAGTTTTTAATGATAAAGGAATCTGGTTTACATGATTACTCCTGCATGTGTTTCATTTATAAAATATACAATGACATTTGATAGATTCAAAAAGTACTGCTGAAGTCAATGCGAGGGCTTTTTTGACAGGTTGTGTAACTTAGAAATGATCCGGGATATAGTCAGGATTTTTATTTGCTGAAGTTCTAAGATACCTACGTAAGACACAGACAGGACAACATGTTCCAGGTTGTGTAACTAAGGAATAATCTGGACTACAGTCAGGATCTATACACTGCTCCTTGGTACATTCAACACTATCTCCATAGCATTTACATGTTGTACATGCATCTTTCTTCCAGGTTTCTCCTGACTGAAATAAAGAAACTCTTATGTCTCAAAGTCTACTGTACTGCATGATTTAACTAGGGCATTGCAATATGTTATTCTTCCTTTTTCTGTCCGAGGGGAAAATCTAAAGAGGTAGATTTTGAAATTGAAATAATGTTTTGAAAATCCACAATTTGATGAATGAAGTCCATGAGGAAACTAATTTACTTTGAAAGACTTCTTTTCTTGTAAATTCCTTTGTTTCATTATTGCTTCTTTATAAAAACATAGTGTTCATTTATTGTGTGTTACTATATTTTGTGACATTAGTACCTGTCTAGTGACACCATCATATTGACATGGTGTCTTGGGATATTCTTCACAGACTTTACAACATTCTCCTGGTGGTCTGACCTCTCTTTCATCTAGACGACAGTTGAGAGTTCTACATCCAATCAACCTGCAGCTCTTGCTACCAGCTTTGTCCTAAAATAAAAAATATAAATATACAAATTTGAAATGAAGGACCTAAATCAAATGTAGACCAATTAAGGTTGTATCAATAGATTATAAATTTGTAACCATTATTTAACTTTCCATAATTCTTATATGATTTTCATCACAGGAATGGTTTGTTATAGTTGGTTACAACTTCTTCCTGTGGCAATTATTTTTGCCGCTTTTTTTTGAGACAACATAGTGTCTTTTATTCACATTACATATTCAAAATATGCAATCATTAGCTATGGTTGACAGTAGTTGAAAAAAAGAAATTAAAAGAATTTAACGTATTTTTTCCAAACATTTGGGAGTGATTTGGCTCAGTTTACATCAAATATTTCCAGAAAGATGTAATAAATCCTAAAAATATTATCCTATAAATTTAAAATATAAAGTATTTTGAAAATTAAAAACTTTTAAATTTTACAAAAGTGTATAATATATAATCATGATAATATTACTATAATTAAATACTGAAACATTACACAATAAACAAGAGGCTCTCAAGAGCCTGAATCGCTCACCTGTATTTCAGAGGAGAAGATTTTTAAATGTTAGCAAACTTGATGAACAAATTGTGTAAAATTGTCTTTAAAGGGCAATAACTCCTTAAGGGGTCAATTGGCAATGATGGTCATATTAACTTTTTTGTAGATCTTACTTTGCTGAACATTATTGCTGCTTACAGTTTATATATATCTATAATAATATTCAAAATAATAACAAAAAACTGCAAAAATTTGTTAAAACTACCAATTCGGTGGCAGCAACCCAACAATGGGTTGTTCGATTCATCTGAAAATTTCAGAGCTGATAGATCTTGACCAATTGAACAATTTTACCTTGTCAGATTTGCTCTTAAAGCTTTAGTTTTTGAGATATAAGCCAAAAACTGCATTTGACCCCTATGTTCTATTTTTAGCCATGGCGGCCATGTTTGTCGACGGATCAAAACTTTGGATACAATTTATAAACTAGATACCCTAAGGAACATTTAGTTAAAGTTTGAAGGTATTTGGCCCAGTAGTTTCAGAGGAGAAGATTTTTTAAATAGTTTACGACGACAGATGACGACAGACGACAACGATGACGACTTCGGGCCCGGTGAGCTAATAAGGCACAATAATTGCTGATTTCATAAAAAAACAAAACAGAACAGTATAGATGGGCAGAAGGACTTTTCAGGGACGTCAGGATTGGGCGTATTATATTGCTGTGATTTGGATTTACACTTATCGGGACTCAAGAATTAATGATTAATTTTTTAGGATTTAGGAAAGAATGATTTCTTTTTTAGGAATTCAGGATTCAGTGTTCATTTTTCAGGGAATTATAATTAGGGAAGACACCCTCTCCTAACCCCCTCAGTAAAGAACAGCTGCAAAGGTATAATGGTGTTACTTACAACACATCTACATTGTAGACATAGATTGTCTCTGTCTGTCCATACATCTCCTACTCTGTAGTATCGATCTGTTGTAGTATCATGGCAAGCTGAAAATATTTCAATCAATAGACTTGAAAATGTACTGAAACTTGCAAATAGAACAAATATTTTTAAAACTAAGTATTTGTTTATTTTAAACTTAAAGATAAGTTTGGAAATTTAGTGAGCTTAAAAATAGCTCTTGAAATTAAGAGAGAAATAAGAACTTACGTGGACATTTGGGACAGCATTCTCTGTCTTCTTTCATTTGGACAGCTGGTGGACAGTTCAACAATGGACACACTTCTTTCCTACAAATCCAGCTCAAGGAACTCTAAAATGAAATGTTGAACATTGATTTGAGTATTCTGCAAGTTTTTTTTATTTTGAATTGTCATGGAAACAGGTACATTTGTGTCAACAATGGCCAACAATTACAAATATCCCCATCCCTTCAAATTCAGTAACCAAACAGTAAAATTAAGAGTACTTCTTATTTTTCATATTAACAATTCTTATTGTTTACTAATACAAGAACTCTATGAAAATATTAAAAAAATCAAACACTGTTATACAATTTGCTAAAACATGCGGATATTATCTTGAATTTTGAGACAAATAACATGCTAAAAAAGTGTCATCCCAAATTACAAGTGCATCTTCCAAAAACAATAGATTACTTGTAGTTTTATTACAATTTATCACATCTGTTGTACAATTCCGACTTTCAACTGTCATGTGATGAGCAGATGATACAATGTTAGACCCTCCTACTTACGGTACACTGGTCATGTGATAAGCAGATGTTACAATGTTAGACCCTCCTACTTAGGGTACACTGGTCATGTGATGAGCGGATGTTACAATGTTAGACCCTCCTACTTACTGTACACTGGTCATGTGATGAGCAGAATGATGTTACCATGTTAGACCCTCCTACTTACCGTACACTGACAGGAAACACAAGGATCACTGGGTTTAGGTAGAATCATCATTCCATAAGTCTCTCTTGTACAGTTCTGTCCACCTGAAAATTAAACTTCATAATGTCAATATAAAGTAAAACAATAATTTGTACACATTATCACATTTCCAAGTTAAGTGAACCACAAAATATGGGTCAATACCCTTAATTGGATTTTAATCTAAATTCACATCATATTTAACAAGTGTACTACATTTCACATTGATGTGACTATAACTTCATGGTTAACTCCCTTAAACTAAAACTTTAACCTGATGTGCATGGGACATACAAAGGGATGCACCCTCATAGACACAAACACAATGACCTGTACTATTGTAGGCATGGCAAACACATACATGTTTAATTTATTGGTAAATGGACTGATTGAGAAATTAAAATGCCATCAGAGTAAATTACTCTGTGCTTGCTTAGAGTTCTAATGAATGGTTCTATGTCCAAAAAAGAAGCATTCAAAACAATAAAACATAATAAGACATGAAAGGCTGTTGAAAAAAAAATAGATCATAACTAATATCTAAAAATCACAAAGAACAAAATGGCAGTATCATCTATCTAGTGGGATTGTAACATATTCTGACATTATTGTATTTCAACATTCTCAAATCAACTGGGATAATGATCTTACCAGCAGGACAGTTATATCTGTGGGAGTACACTGCAGATATTTTTATCATGGGATACAATTTTTTAATAATTTCTTGGTTAGGGCTTTGTACCTGATTGAGCTAGATTTTTAATTTGCAAGTCTTTGGTTTGACAGGGAAAGGCATCCAACCCACAACCTCTTAGGCTTGACGTCAATTAGATGTGTTGGAGAACAACATAAAAACTTACCTCCAGAACAAGTCGGGCAACATTTCCCTACAGATGGAGATATGATCTGGTCAGCTGGACAGTTGGATGTCTCTGGGCACATCACATAATGGCAGGTCATTCTTCCTCCCTATAAGATAGAAAATAAACCATATCAATACTGAATGCCATATCAATCTTCAATGCAAATTACATTTTAAGAAACATATAATTTATTGATTTCTAAAAGACACCTGCATCAATACTTATTTGTTTCCATAATCATAAATTACCATAATAATCACTTTATGAGAACAAAGTTAACAGACACTTTGTCTCTGTGTCTACTCACCTAACCTACAAAAAAATTTCATGGAAATCTGTGGAATAAACTTATCAAAATCCCTGTATCTTTCATCTCTATGTGTGATTACCTTACATGCAAGTATATATTAAAGAAATTCTTGATGGACTGAACTTGACACTAACACTGTATTCTCTTTATTTCTGTGTTCTCATCTTAAATACACATTGATCTAATGAGCATCCTGATGGACTGAACATGTCACCATCATTGTAAACTCTGTCTCATTGTGTATTCACCTTACATTCACATATATTACATGGACCTCCAGAAAGACTGAACATGTCACCATCACTGTAAACTCTGTCTCATTGTGTACTCACCTTACATCCACATAAATCATATGGATCCCCAGATGGACTGAAGGTGTCACCTTCACTGTAAACTCTGAATCTTTGTGTACTCACCTTACATTCACATAAATCACATGGATCTCCAGATGGACTGAACATGTCACCATCACTGTAAACTCTGTCTCTATGTCTACAGGCTGAAACATATTCAATCAGATTTAAAGTAATTCATTTTTATAATTGTTATTATTTACAGTAGATTGGCTTAATCTATTACATATTTTTTTATAGGAAAAGGAATAATTTAATACATAAATGTGGATAGTGTCCACATGTGGACACAGATGATGCCCCCGCTTGCATATCATATAGTTATAAAGGGACATAACTGAAGAATGGTAAAAGTGATGCTACCCAAATTTGAACTTGATCTGAGTTTTGTGGTAATAAGCATTGTGTGTAAGTCTCATAACATTTGGTTGAGGCTAACTTAAGTAGAGAACAGAAACTAAAAATTCAGCAATTTTTCTTTTTGTAAACACGCATAACTCTAGAACGTTGTGTATATGTTTTATAACATTTGGTTGAGACAAACTAAAGTTAGAGAACGGAAACGAAAAATTCAGCAATTTTCATGCTTATAAAGGGACATAACTCAAGAATGGTAAAAGTGTCGCCACCAAATTTCGTACTTAATCTGTATTATGTAGTAATAAGCATTGTGTATAAGTTTCATAACATTTGGTTGAGGCAAACTAAAGTTAGAAAACTAAAACAAAAAATTTGTACTTGATCTTAGTTTTGTGGTGATGAATATTGTGTATAGGTTTCATAATGTTTGGTTGGGGCAAACTTAAGTTACAGAATGGAAACTAAAAATTTTGCAATCTTTCGATTTATAAAGGGGCATAACTCAATAATGGTTAAAGTGACACTACCCAAATTCAACTTGATCTGTGTTTTATCAGTGGAAGTCAAAATTAAACATTGCATTGTATAAAGCATTGATTGCAGTTGATTCAACTATAATCATGGACAAAGGAAGATAACTCCAATTTTAAAAATTACTTGATATTAAGAAGAAAATAAAAATTTAGCAATTTTTCCATTTATAAAGGGGCATAACTCCAGAACGGTTTAAGTGACGCCACCAAAATTCAACCTTTATCTGTGTTTTGTGGTAATAAGCATTGTGTATAAATTTCATAACATTTGGTTGAGGCAAACTTAAGTTAGAGAACGGAAACTAAAAATTTTGCAATTTTTCCATTTATAAAGGGCATAACTCTAGAACGGTTTAAGTGACGCCACCAAAATTCAAACTTGATCTGTGTTTTGTGGTAATAAGCATTTTGTATCAGTTTCATAACATTTGGTTGAGGCAAGTAAGAGAACGGAAATCAATTTTGGGACGTACGTACGTACAAGGGTAAAACTTAATGCCCCCTCTGCTACGGCGGGGGCATAAAAATTCAGAAATTTTTCTGAAGTTTTTCTATTATTGTAAAAATTGGTACAAAAAAAATTGTCCCAAAAGTAAAAACTTGCGCATTTCAAATTTTGAAAGCATTATTTGTATTCAGCATTTCCTAAAATCACAATAATTAAATTTGCATTTGTGTTGATTGTTTATCAATGGCAAACTGTTTTGTAAATTGGAACAGTGAAAATGATATTTACACATAAACTTATGTACTGTTTTGGCCTCACATGACAATACAGGCATGCGATAGAGATTGAGTTATTTTTCATACATGACTACTTGCATGTAAAGACAGGACAACACAGGCCCAAGACTTTGATTGAATTGCTGGATGTTGTCAAAGACTATTTACTTGAACAAACAGAACTGCACACAGGATTTTTCTTACATAAACAGATACTTTCGATTCATTATTATTTTTAGGATACCATGGGTACAAGGGAACCAAGTATTTAAATGGACAATTTTTATATTGCCAGATGTGGGTACAGGATTCTGAAAAAGGGGGGCCATGGGCCCCCAAACTATGTGGTATAGGTAAAAAGTCTAAACTAACCATAAATGTAGCTCCATAAGAGGGCCCGGGCACCCCCACCCACCCCTAAATCTACCTCTGTTTGCTGCATGTACTTAATAACTAACTTGGACTAACAGAGCAATAATATGGGATTTTGTTTTATTAACAAATCAACATAGGTCAATGACAGTGATTCGGTAATCACATGTTGTGTGGGGCCACTGACTCAAGTAGGCAGGATAACACAGGGCTAAGACAGAAATAATGTTGGTTTGAGTTGTGTGGGGCTTCTTCATTACACAGGAAAAACATGACCAGGAAAACTTATTGGGTAAAATTTGTTGTTAAGTTCTACTTACTTGGACAGACAGGACAACACTGGCCTGGGACAGTGATTGGGTTGTCACATGTAGAAAAGCAGTGCATCTCCATACATGTAACAATACCCCCTCTACATGCACATGTTTTACATGGGTTGTTGTCTATTGTCCATGCATCTCCATCACTGTGGTATATACCATTATATCTACATCCTGTAAGTATTTAAAAGTTACATCATACAAGTGATAATAAGATAAGTATAAAAAAATTTAAAAACAATGTCATGAATAAACTTTAAATAACTGTCAAAAGTATATATATATATATATATATATACCCTGTGGATTCATTTAATTTCGTGGGTACCATTTTTTGTGGTTGAAGGAAAAATAGCATTTTCATTGATATTTGTTTTTGTCTGCATACAAGGCTTTAGTAAATATGTACTTTGTTGAACATTTAAATTTGTGGTTTATTTGTACCTATGAAATCCACAAAATTGGTATCATACAAATAATAATGAATCCACAATTTCCAAACAAACAGTCGTAATCAATGATCTTAAGATTATTCACTATTGTTGACAGATCATTTCAAATGTTTATTTGTAAATTACATATATGAAACCATTCAGGAAGATGTTGGACATAACAAATTTTCACTGACAGTGATCTTCTTCTAATTTCTGATATAATCAACAAGTCATCTACAAAATATGTTGTTTTTTTTCATTATCTATAAAAATGATAATTCTTTTAAAAAATCCTTTCTTGGAAAATTAAAGGTATTATGGGACTAAAAATAAGAAATAAATTATTGAATTTACCAAGGCAAACATCACAACACTGTCCGGGTAATTTCTCAGTCCGTGGGCATGTCAGTCTAGGACAAGTCTGTGTCAGACATCCTACATTACCGCCCTGTTATCAAAATAAAGAAATAAGTGTTAAAGACAAAATCAACATAACCGATAAACAGGAAAGTCTTTGTACTGAAAATATTTCTCAAAACATTTTTCGAGACAATATGCCAATTGAAATGATTGAATAGCAATTCTGAGAAAACAAAATGGCTGTTTAAGCTAACATAAATATCAAATTTTCTGGAAAATCTGTTATTCAAGCGAAAAACAAATTAAGAATTCTGTAAATACAACTACCTTTAAACTAATGATAATATTAATATCAAACATGTGAAAGAAATAAAACCATTATTTTAAAAAGATTTGAAAAACACAAATGGATTATTATAATATCATACCTGACATGAACAAGTATTACAAGGATCTGGTTTATACTGGTCTCCATTTCCAATTAATCTTCCTTCATACATACAGTCATCACAAACAGGGCAGCAGTCACCCTGTCTAGGGTGTGTACAACGAACATCACATGACACAGCATCACATCTCACTCTTCCTGCCTACAAATAGTATAATCAAAGCGCGAAAGCGCTGTAAAGGCAGTTAATTACAGGTTGTGTGTATTTTTAGTCCAGTTTTATCATTATCTTGCATAGTACATTGTACTTATCAATGGTGGCTTTCAGTATTTAAGATTAAGAGTTCTCTAATGATATTGAACAAATTTTATGAATGTCATATTCTGAGCACTATATGAAGGCAATTGTTCTCACTTGTTTATGAACTAGTGCATTATGTCCAGTTTATACCTTTTTTATCTATGTTTATACTCAAATACTGTTTAAAATAGTTTGGCATTTTCTTTTTAGTAATAAGTAAATGTTATCAACTGTATTTTATTCAACTTTGCAAATGTGGTTTGTTACTGGTAAGTACAATGTATGGATGATAGTTGTTTCATTGGCAATCATAACACATCTCCTTATTTATATAATGATCTATATTCAACAACCTCAGGTACAAAAAAAATATATGTAACTAAGCTATGATGGGCATCCATATATAAAGTATGACGCATCCAGACCTTCCACCTTCTAAAATATATAGCTTTTAAGAAGTTAGCTAACGCCGCCGCCGGATCACTATCCCTATGTCAAGCTTTCTGCGACAAAAGTCGCAGGCTCGACAAAAAGGAGTTCTTAATTAAGAAATAAACTAATTCGCTAAGCGCAGCTGGATACACCCGCAGAGGTCCAACCCTGTACAGTTGGGGCAAAAATGGACACAATATTCAAGCTTGATACAGGTCTTAATTTGGATTGTAATTAAATATTTGACATATTATAGTTTCTGAATAAATGTAGTCAAAGAACTTGAAATAGGTTATATGAATTGAATTTATATTCAATTAAAGATTTCTTGCTGTTGTGCAATACACTGTGCTGTTGCGCAATACTTAATAAATCTGTTGCCAGACTATAAACAAATAAAGTTCAATTTCTTCTCAATGTCATATTTGAAATTTATGAAAATCAATAGGGAGATTACATCAATAGCTATAAATAATTCACCAAAGTTTCATGCGAACTGCTTAAAGCATTTTTGAGTTGTCTAAAAACTGGAAAATCCCCCCTCTTTTAATGAATAAAACCCCATAACTCCGAAATGTAAAATCTAAAATTTATAAAATTCTAAAGGGAGCTTACGGATTGATAATTTAGTCTTCGATGCAAGATTTTTTTATCAGTTGTTAGTGGCTTTGAACTAGCTGTCAGTAAATGCGAGTACTCTCAGATCTGTACTTAGTGTCTTTTTGTTGTTTGGATGTACAACTACATGTACCCGGCCACGTCCACTTGTATTTATCCATCTGATGGGTTAGCCTCTTTCAACTGATTTTTATAGTTCGTTCTTATATTGTACTGTAACACCACTGTCCCAGGTTAGGGGGTGGGTTGGGATCCCGCTAACATGTTTAACGGTTAAACTTTAACCCCGCCACATTCTGTATGTACATGTATGTGCCTGTCCCAAGTCAGGAGCCTGTAATTCAGTGGTTGTTGTTTGTTTATGTGTTGCATATTTGTTATTCGTTCATTTTTTGTACATAAATTAGGCCGTTAGTTTTCTTGTTTGAATTTTTTTACATTGTCATTTGGGGGCCTTTTATAGCTCACTGTGCGGTATGTGCTTTGCTCATTGTTGAAGGCCGTACTGTGACCTATAGCTATTAATTTCTGTGTCATTTGGTCTCTTGTGGAGAGTTGTCTCATTGGCAATCATACCACATCTTCTTTTTTATATTTACATCAACAGATATAAACAATTCACCAAAGTCAAGGTGAGACAACAAAACTTAGTTGTAAGATCTCTGAAATTTTTTACACGGTACAAGTTTTTCTCATTGTTGGAGATTGTACGGTGACAGTAACACCTGTAACTGCTTAACTCATTTCTTATGCACTTTGGTTCGATAAACTCACTGAATATCATACCACATCTCCTTATTTTTATATGCATTACAATTTACATGTGCATGTAATTGTAAATATATATATATATATATATCTTGGATGGAGAGTTGTCTCATTGGCACTCATACCACATCTTCTTATATCTATATCAGAACAAACTTCATTGCGTCACTTTTATTTATGCATCCTTTGGCACAATACAAGTTCTAAAATTACACAACATAAAACAACTAAATGTTATTTCAGATGAAAGTTTTGTTTCAGTTCCATTCATAGGATTTATTAGAATTTTGTATGTTTTGCCAAGTCCAATAATTAGCTATATGTGCATGTGTTAATTGGAGACTTTTCTATCCCGTATAAGAGTTTTGGAACTAATTCTGTTTCTTTTTTTGAAAAAAGTGAGCAAACAAATCTTGCACATTTAAACCTTTGTCTGCCATCACACTGTCACCTGGATCACATAATTGAACTATTCTACATCTTTCAACTATTTCACAGTCACTGGTACAACCAACACATGCATTAGAGACATAGTTGACTAAACCACCAGGTGTCGAACATACAAGTATTTTCAGTGTTTCTGTTTTTATATGATGAAAAGATTGCCTGAGCTCTAGGAGCTTTAGGTTTTATCACGGGATATTCTGTGCTGTCAATAACAATCCAAGTTGTAGGAAACTTTAATTTGAAGTTGGATGGCGAAAAATACCTGACTAAACCACTAAATGGCCAAGTGTTAGCCTCACGCCACTGTTTAGACATAAAAACAATCCATGTTTACACAATATTCTTAACACTAGTTTCAATCTAGAATCTAGACAGTTCAAAGTTGGTTGTATAATGCCTCAATTTCATCAAAGTCATAAAAAAACTGATTTTCAAATGACACCCTATCAATTTGAAAATATATGTATCTCAAACAATGTGCTGCTGGACCAAGTGTGGTCAAAACAAATACAAATTTAGTATACAACTCTAAACCGGTATAAAAATGCATGGCTGTGTCACGTGTCTTCATTTCAAATTTCTCTGCTGAAAATATAGGCATTGATGGTGTTTGCGTAATTCCGTCTGTGAAGCTCAACATTAGCTCGGCAGTTGGTGGTGGACAGTCATAAATCCTGTCTGCAGTATGAATGACTTCCTCAGGAAAACCAACTTTACAATCAAAACTTTCATCTAGATTTCTACTACAATATTCATCAAGTTTAGTTCTTTTGTTTTCACAGGAAACTGCCCTGATTTTTCTTTTTGCGGCTGATTCAGTCTCTTGCTTGGTCCAGAAAAATAGGCTTGGAATGGCAGTAGACTTAAGTCTCTGTATGGTGGGTTTGTGCCCTGAAAAAGGTTATAAAACATTAGTTTTTTGATAATTAAATGAACTTCCATTAGCAATGCATACTTTGTACTACATTTTTGTACCTGGCAAAATATTAACTAGATTTATTCATTACAATCTGGATAAAACTATGTTTGCCTGATTCAATGTATGTTATGTAAATCCAAAGGACAAACAATGAGAGATTTATGCAACAAACGTACATTGTTTGTACCTAAATAACTATAATATAGATGAGAGCATGTCATTGTTTTGTTCCTGTTAACATTGTCATTGATATTTTTCAAAGAAAATCTATGAGGCATAGCTTATGCATTCCTGTCATTACTACATTAGCATAATTACTGCTAAAATAATTCTCAGTATGATATACCTCTTGTAAGAAATCATTATAATTGTAGCAAGCACCAAAAAATCTCAAACAGATCACATTGAATCGTAATCCAAAAAATTATGACGTCTTGAATTAACCACCCCCTTTTATTCTAAAACGATAATTGCGGTTGTAAACAGACTTTGGTTTATTCGCATGGCGATTACATATATATAACTATATATTTTAAAAAGAAAATAGAGTTTTACCATGAATAGTTTCCTGCACGTAGTCTTTTTCAGTAAAATGTGCCTTGCAAACAACAGCTGATTGAGATGGACTCCACGATTTCATCGTGTTCTCGTCCAATCTGCCATGGCGTTGATCCAACTTTTCCTTCTTTTTAAGTCATTTGGAAATGCATGTCCTCCTCTTAAATGACATCCAGGTACACAACAACAAGTACTTGGCATCGTTAATTAAAAATGCAACTGTAATAGTTGCACAGTTGCACAGCGCAGAAACTGGAAGTTTAAGTACAGGATCGGCTACCACGGCGCCACCTATTCAGGAACGATAATTTGCTATAACTGCGAAATAACAATAACGTTAGACGGGTTCACGTGCATAAACAATAAACAGAAATGCGCTTTAAATTGTATAATTTAATTCATGTTCAGTCGACCTTTAATTATTATATCAACGACTGAAATGATTTATAAACATCTAGATTGCAGATAACACTCGAAATTAACCCGACCTCTTTCCACACGGAATTCAAATAATTCTAGTTTGTCAATCGGTTGACTGCTTATAATGCAAAATACAAATATATCAAAAGTTTTTAAAACTCACAAAACACAATGATCGTTTCTCTATTTCCCAATGTAAATGAAATGAAACAAAAAACATTTTATATCAAAATAAGAAGAGGAGAGAATCAACATTTTCCGGATCTACTTGGAGCCTAATGACCCCCAACGTAGATAAGTTGGATATCGCGGAAAGAAAGATCAACACGGCAACTAGAAAGGCATTAAAGCACTGCCTTTAAAAACAGTGCATAAGTATTTTTTCTAAGAGCTAAAATCAGGTGTCCTTTTGTAGTCAAAACTTTATATCATATGGCTCTTGTACGTATGAAGTATCGTAATTAACTGTAGCTTTTTAAGAAAAAGACTTAACTAAAGAAATCAGATTTACTGAGGTCCAAAATTTAAACTTCACCGACGAAATTTAATTCACTAATGTCCAAATCTGTAAATGCTCCACATTGTTCTGTTGCATTTTGTAAATTGTATATGAAGACCTCAGAGACTTTACCATTACAAAGACAGATTTCAGGTGGTCTATTAGTTAGAACCATAAATTGGCTATGAGTTATATAAGTCAAAGTCCTTCAATACAATATAATTAATCTGTCTCTGTTGTGAAAGTTAACATATTTAGAAAAAAAAATTAATTGTTGTCCAGATTTGAATTCGACTGAAAAATAAAATATAAATCATGTTCAAAGTGATTTCTGCTTTATTGAAGTGGCAGTGATCTGTCAACTGCCTGCTTGTCTTTAATCAGCTAATGAATGTCATGCCAATAAACAGCATTTCAATTTCTTTAAACAAAAAACTTAACAACACTTATTACATGGAGTCTACACTCTAGATCTATTTTTACTTAGGACAACAGTTTTTTCTCAGTCTTTTCCTCAGGTCCTTGGTCAAATAAAACAGTGTCTTTGTCCTGGACCCCAGAAAAAACTGATGTTGAATGTTTTGCCACGCAACCCATAAATAAATCAATTAGGATTTATTTCATATTCTGTGTCTGCCTACACAAAATATAAATATTATTTTAATCTTATCAAAATTTTGATTGCAGATATTATACTAACCCTACATGTGCAGGTCTGACATTTGTCTCTTGGATTACTGAATATTTGACCATCACCTAATATACTTACCCTACATGTACAGGTCTGACATTTGTCTCTTGGATTACTGAATGTTTGACCATCACCAAATGTACCACCATGGAACTGACATACTGTGTTAATAAAGAATATATAACTGTTATAACAAATATTAATGTTTTAAAATGTCAGCTGCAGAACAAAGATGTTAAGTGAACAGAAATCCTGTCTCACTTTTTATCAGCTATTGTAAATTATTACTCTACTATATAAATATCAACAGATAGTAGTATCTTTTTTATTTATTAAAATCTTGTTTTAATGCATGAAATATAAACCAACAATTAAATAATCAATAATTTTAATATAATATTTTAGCCTCTGTATAATATGAAAAGAATAATCGGTGTACTTCAGCCTACAAAAATGTAAATGCAAACTATTTTTCTTAAAGTAGTTTACAATAGAAAATTGTTTTTTATATTGTTTTAAAAGGGTAACATTTTTTGTGCATTTTGTGGTTAATCCTCCAACCATAATAGTTTAATACCCAGTGAAATGCACATTTTCCTTGAGTTTCAATATGTTTGAATCTAAATACCATGAATCAAAAAGCTCTTGAACCAATGATTTTTGCACGAACTTCAAAAACTGACACTCTCTGAAGAATAGTATGTTCACAGTATTTCATTATCATTAAATAATCTAAGGAATATTAAGGACACATTGAAAAAAAAAAAAACTGAAATCCTACCTGTGCAAACAGGACAACATTCCCCACGATTAATCACTGGGTTGTCACATTTAGGTACAGGACATATTACAGTTTCACATACTATATTTCCATTCTGTAAAACAAATCTTTTCTGATATATTATGTATGTAAAATAAGGCATATTTTTCTAAACATTTAAAAGAACAACTTCCACATGGATCTACCTCTGACTTGAAGGTAATTCTAAAAGCCCACACTTTACAACAGTCTGTGGACTCACAACTTGCCTCAAAAGAACATCCATGTGAAGTTTCTGCTCATTTGGGAGTAATTATGAAGGACCTATTCTTAATAGCAGCATTCACTACTATGAAAACTGAATGTTGTCTCACAACTCTGACAATCGACAAGAACAATTTTTATATGGGTCTATATTTGACTTAGAGAAGATAGGATTTGAAGGACTCCATCTTTTCAACTGTTGTCAGAGGATTTATCCAAAACAATCATAATAGATGGATAGTTGTCTAATTGGCAATCATACCACATCTCCTTATTCTTATATAAGTTTATTTCTAATTTTAAGGTAATATATTATGTGTGTGGACTTAATTTATTCATAAAAAGTTCCTATAAATAGCAAAACTTACCCGACAGGAACAACTTCTACATGGATCTACATCTGATTTAAAAGTGACACCATTCCTTTGGACCTTCCCTTCATAGAAACAGTCCCTACATACAGGACAACAGTCTGTGGTGTTTGCAGGATGGTCACATGTTTCTCTACAAGTAATTCTGGAACATCGAACATTACCATTCTGTAAAGACAGTTATGATCACGTTTAAGTCTGATCAGGTAAAACTGACAGTCATCTTATATTGCAATTATAGAGAATTAACCCGCAAGAAGTAGCAACTTTAGGTCACTGTCTTTTTTTTTATAATTGCCAATACAACACAATATAAAAACATTGATTGAACTGATCAACTGATTTTTGAGCTGATATTTAAAGTGTGGATAGTCATAACTTTCATGCAAAAAATTAAATAATCATTGATATAGACCTTTTATTCAGCTGAGATAATAAGAAAAATAAGGAAATGAAAATGAAAGTGTCTAGTATGTTAATGAAGATTGTATAGTTAATAGTAATCTACATGTTAGATGTGTATACAAATGACAAATATGGTTCTCATATGGACAACCTACTGCAATCAGTCGTTTTAGATACTGATCCTGAATTTTCCTAACTACAGAACTGTAGTCATGATAACGCTTTAACATAATCAAGGTTTCTTTTATGGTACAATATCCTTAGATATAGAATGAAAAGACTATACCAACCATATATTGTTATTCTACTTTACCTGACATGAACACTGTTGACAAGTATCCTGTGGATGTCTGAATCTTTCTCCATTAGTGTACACACTGCTCCTAAAGTCACATCCTGTACAGCTCTGACATCCACACTGGTTCTCTGTCACAGGATAATCACATGATGCTGGTGCACATGTTTTCCTTGTACAGATCATACTGCCAAACTTAAAAAAAGAAAAGACATTCACATAACATAAAGTTACATGTTTTCCTTGTACAGATCTTACTGCCAAACTAACTTGAATAAAAGAAAATGATTGGTCACATGACAAAGAGCCACCTGTCTTCTTTTTAAATATCATACTGCTAAACTGAAATAACAGTGAAGTATCAGTCACAAAGTAAGAAACATGGTATCTTGCCCTTTGTTTTCTAATTTTTTACATTTATTTTACTGCCAAACTTAAAACAAAGAAAAGTCTCAGTCAAATTACAGCTATTTGATACTCCATCTCCTCCTGATACAGTATAATGACAAAGTAGATCAAAATATCAGTCACATGATAGTCACATGAGGATGTATCCAATATCATCCTGGTACAGAAAAAACTGCCAAAGTGTTGCTTGTTTGTCACACCAAATCATGTTAATAAACTGTTAACACAGAGGTATGTCTCGCCTATTTGTTATTTTGATAATGCAAATATTGAAATTAAAATAGCAATACTTTAACATGTAAGTTATGCAAATATTCAAAGTCAATGAACCATGACTGAAGGTACAGGGCTAAACAATCTCCATGGAAATGAGATGTACCAAATACCATTGACTTTTCATAAGTCGTTCCCTTTAAAACAAACCTAAACACAAACATTAACTTGTAAACTATATAAAAGTTTCAAATTCAATGAACCATGATGAGGGGGCGGGGCTATATAATCTCCATGGAAATGAAACTTGCAAATGTCAATACATTTGCATACCAAATATCATTGACTTAATTAACATTAGTGGTTCATCTTTAACTGACCTAATCACAAACTAATACATGTAAACTAAGCAAAAGTTTTGAAGTCAATAGACCATGACTGAGGGGTAAGGACCAAATATTCTCCATGGAAATGAGATATGCCAATGCTTATACAACTGCATACCAAATATCATTGACCTACCACTAAAGGTTCCCCTTAAACTGACCTAATCACAAACTAATACATGTAAATTAAGCAAAAGTTTCAAAGTCAATAGACCATGACTAGGGGGTGTGGCCAAATAATCTCCATGGAAATGAGATATGCCAATGCTTATACAACTGCATACCAAATATCATTGACCTACCACTAGTGGTTCCCCTGAAACTGACCTAATCACAAGCTAATACATGTAAACTAAGCAAAGTTTCAAAGTCAATAGACCATGACTGAGGGGGTCGGGCCAAATAATTTCCATGGTGATGAGATGTGCCAATGCTAATACAACTGCATACCAAATATCATTGACCTACCACTTGTGGTTCACCATAAACTAGACCTAATCATAAACTAATACATTGTTGACGCCGCCAACGCCGGAAACAGCACACCTATGTCTCGCTTTTTGACTCGGTCAAGGCGAGACAAAAATTACCCTTTCCCATCTTTTCCTAGTATGAATTATACTGCCACATAACGCTATATCCAGACTCTTACTGGTACAAACAAAATGTTAAACTTAAACAAAGCAAAGTTGTAAGATGTACAAATGATTCAATAGGTGGCTTGTTACATATTTGTGTATTGTTAATTTGTTCTTGTTCTGAATACACAAGAAATATTTGCCACTAGATGTTAAGCAAGCAACAATAAAGCAATCCTCGACTAAATCAAACTTTTTAAACTTAAGGAAAGGTAAATCCCAATCATTGGACTTCAAGGACTGAACTTACCTGACAGGTACATGTAGAACATGGATCCTTTGAATCAGCTATTGTATTTCCATGCCTGACAAACTGACCATTATATGTACAGTCTGTACACTCTGGACAACACTGACCTTGAACAGGGTCACTACAGGTCACTGCTGGACATTGTTTCTTTACACATCTCACTGTTCCATCCTTGATAGAGAAAGAAAAAGACAGAAAACATAAAATAAATTGCAACATACAGAAAGTCACATAGAATAAACCAATATAAAATATTTTTCTCTTTGTTACAGCATTAATTCAAAAAAAAAAATATGTGTAAAACTTTATTTGGTCATGAGCAGTTTTCTTACTGAAACAGAAAACAACTTTATCATATTCCCAATTCAGAAACGTCTCCAAAATAATAGTAATATCCTGAATATTTCATTCTTCACAATTCAAAAATTGTATTCTTAAAGGAGTAATTTTTCACTTTTTAGTTTGTGCTTGCCTTTTTTTGTTTAATTTATCACACTTCTTCTTTACATTACCAAAGTAGCTCAATTAAATATGAATAGGTATACAATATGTATAGAACAAACTTAATGATGTCACTAACCTGACAGTAACATTCCTGGCAAGCATCATCAGGATCTTGGAACCTGTCTGTGTTTCTGTACCTCTTCCTGTTATACAGACAGTCAGTACAGACTTGACAGCATTCATCAGAGACAGGGTGACGACAGGTGACAGGTAGACATCGTGTAGGGATACAAGTAACACTGCCTTTAGTGCAGGTGCACTCTTCACATCTGTTCTTAAACGTAACACCATCATCATATCTTTTTCCATCAAAGAGACAATCTCCACCACACTGTGGACAACACCTTCCCTGAACTGGATGTGTACATTTTCTACCATTACATTCTTTCCTTGCACATCTGACATTCCCATTGTTGCATGAACATTTCATACAGGGGTCTGACAGGTCACTAAACTGAGCACCGTCTGAATAGAGAACATTTTTATGGTAGCAATCCCCACAGGTTGGACAACAATTACCAGCTACAGGACTGTTACACTGGACAGGAGGACATGACTTCCTACGACAGTTGACATTACCATCTCTACATAAACATTCATTACAATTTTCTGTTGGATCAGGAAACAAGTCACCATTCCTGTGTTCTTTACCTTGATACATACAGTCTGAACACTCCTGACAACAACCTCGCCTCACAGGGTACTGACAATTTGTCTGTACGCAGGTCTGTGACCTACATTCCATATTTCCATTCCTACAGTAACATTGTTTACATGGATCATCGGTACTTTGAACATTGGCTCCATTTCTTACAAGTTCACCATTATATTGACAGTTAGCACACTCTGGACAACAAGTACCAGATGCTGGATTTGAACATGAGATCAAGGGACAATCTCTTGGTGTACATGCTACCGTACCATCTCTACACTCACACACATTGCATTGACTACTGGGATCAGGGAATCGCTGTCTGTTTCTATACACACGATTCTCATAAAGACAGTTATTACACTCCTGACAACATGTACCCTGGACTGGATGTTGACAGGTGACAGACGGACATGGTTTTCTACGTTTCACAATATTGCCACTATTACAAGTACACTGTAGACAAGAATCTTCAGAACTGATAAATCTTTGTCCATCCTCATATCTCTTGTTCTGATACTGACAGCCAGCACAAACAGGACAACAACTGGCCATTACTGGATACTGACAAGAGACAGATGGACATTCCTTCCTACGACACTGAACCTCTCCGTTAGAACATTGACATGTCTGACATCTTTCTGTTGGGTGATCAAAGGATATACCATTCTTATACAGTAATCCATTAAAGGAACAATCTGAAATAGTCAGTTTACATCATATTTGAATAATATCAGTTTTTACAGCCATGGTAATTTCATCAAACATAAAGGATTTTAGCAACTTTTTCTTCATTCCAACATCTTCGTGATAATAAGCTAAATCAAATTCAGACTTTGATCCAAATAAAAGTTTTCTGTGTTTGACGAGCCAACTGACTTGCTAATTTCAGATAAAAAATATTACTTAGCTAATGCTGACAAGTCCAGGTCAAACACATTTGCCATTCACCAGACATTCATATGAAAATTTTCAAAGAGCTCGGAAGAGTAATAGTCAGGGACAGGAAAGACAACTAAGTCATCATTAATTAATATATTTGGAGATATATAGTAGAATAATTGGAATATATAATTTGATATCAATTCAAGGTCATACCATAAATCACTGGCTTCTTTTTTATATTCACCAACACAATAAATATCAAATTTGCAATTGACAACAGAGCTCAAGAAAACTGATTTTACTAACTTAAACCAAAAGCTTTCATATTTATACTCATCTAAATCTTCTGTCATTTGTTAACTGTATAACATAGATCTGAGACCTATTTTCTTTTAACTCACCTACACACTCTTGGCAACATTTATCAGCTGTAAAACTAGGATATCTACACCTGACCTCAGGACAAGATCGTGTCCTACATCTAGGTTGACCTCTGTCACACTGACAGTCCTGACATCTGTCATCAGGGTTGGTGAAGGTTGATCCCTCTGTGAACACAACTCCATTGATGACACAATCCTTTGGTTTACATACAGGACAACAACTTCCAGGTTCTGTTTCTGGGTAAGGACAACTGATGGGAGGACATTCACCTATCATATCTGTACAAGTTACAATACCATACTGAAAATAGAAACAAACTACCAGTTCAAATGAACAACATTTATGGTTACTAATCTTTTTTTTATAAAATAGTTGTAATGACAGCAAGAATGCTACTCTGCAGTTAATATAGAAGAAATTTTCCTATCAATGTACCTATAACTTACAAATAATATTATGTAGTAATGTACATACTGTGGGTCAATTTAATACCATGGACATTGACTTTTCGATGAATAAAGTTCCAAATAGCATTATTTATTGCCGTTTTCCTTTGTTTTTGCAATTCAACAAATTACGAATAGTAACACACAAGCACATTTTGTGCCATATATTCCAGTGACAAATTCAAGAAGTGATCACAAGTTACAACTTATCACTGTCAAGATACTGACCAAACATGAAATAATTCTGTTTCAGTAGTGGTGGGGAAAAGTGTAAGAAAAAAAATGTTGAACTTACACAGAGACGGCAGGATTAACATACAGATGTACAAGGTGAATACAAAATATAGCCCTAGTGTGAGGGCATCATATTGAATTTTGGTGCATGTATCAACTCTACCAAGAACTTTGAGAAATTACATATCTGGCCATCATATGGTCTAATGACATAGATCATTATGTGGGTACCCTTCTATACATATTTACAATGGTTTTCTGGCCAGATGGTAGGGCCTTCCTTTTCCTTGGAAGCATGTTAAATTTCAGGAAATGAGAAAAGCTGTTAATTTCATAACTTTACAAAAGTAATTTGTTTTCTCAATAATCATGTTCATAAATCACATACTGAACAGGAACATTCTACACATGGCTGTCGGGGGTCAATGTATTTCTGTCCATTCAAGATATTTTGTCCATTATATCGACACATAAAGCAAGATGGACAACACTCTCCTGGCCGCTGGGCTGGATGGCTACATGTGACTTGAGGACAACTTCTCATCTGACATCTAACTTCACCATTCTAAAAGTAAAACAAAAATTTAGATCTATCTGATGATATATGCTTTTTTTTGTCAGGTTTTTCATAAACACCAACAACAAAAAATAACGATGATGTCTGTTATGAAGTTTACTACAAAGGTTAATGTTTTTGTTGACAAATAAACATATGAAAATGACATGATGAAACAAAAGAATATGGTGTATCAATTCATGACCCAAAAAATCACTACACACACATGAATGAAATAAAGGCAAAGAACAGCTCTGTTTTTTGTATTTCTTCATGGTTTATTTTCATTTTGCCAGAATTTGAAACTATATTACCTATCATATTTATTCTTACTAAGTTTATTCACTAAACAACAAATTACCAAGCCTTGCTTGTTACCATAAATATTTCATGGAAAATTCTACAGTACCATAAACTTCAAGTTTATTGGTAAGATTTTCTTTAATGTGAAAAATGAAACAGGGTGATCCTAGCAAACCATAGCCAACATTTTCATTTTTTTCTAGGAATATTCTACTATAGCATTTTCATAAATCACATTAATACATCTGAAATTGATCTTTTGTCTGACTGTTCAAACAGTCACAATAATAGATGAAGGAATTTATTAAAATTCTCATGTCCTCAATACAAGTTTTAATAATAGGTCAATGCATTGTATTTACTTAAAATTCAATAATAATGTATGGTGACAAAGGAATTCTAGTCATAAAGAATTTTTAAAGATAGCAAACTTTGGGAACATAAAGAGGGAAAACTTAATTATTTCAAGAAACATGCTGAAGCATGCAGCGTGTAATATACAACACGAAACAATGTGAAAACACAAGCAGCAAGTGAAAAACAATAGAAAAAAATATAAAGATCCCTGAAGATGTCATAGCTTTACAGTTGAGAAATTAGCATTCTGGTTCAGGAAGCAATGGTAAAAGCTTTGTCATTAGAATAAAATGTGTAATTGTCCAATAAAATCTGACAATTCAACATAATGAGGTTTTCCATCAAGAAGCTTACTATTTTCCAAGAAGTGTCTTGTCAAAGTAAAAAATGACTATTATCTAAAGGCTAAATTGAAGAGGCTGTAAAAGTCTGTATCGCTCACCTGGCTTCTATTCATAATGCAGATATAATATAATAACCATTAATGTAAAACCATGTTCATCAGAGGGAAGCCAAGTCATGGATGTGATTTTGTACATATTGTATCCTGAATTTTTTTTGGACCAAGCTAAATAAAATTCCAATGTTTTAATAATGTTCTGAAGAGAACATCATACTGGGTGGTTGGTAAGTAAAATTCTAATAAAACTTTAGTTCAAATTCACCTAAACTATTTGGAATTAGAATTTTTTATCCATTTTCTTTAAATATTCAGTCACAGTGACCTAACACTAAATTATTTGTTTATCATTTTTTTTTAAGGTTTACAGGTAAACAGCAAAGGATACAAGGTGATGGCCACCGCTAACACAGGTCCACAGGTAAGCAAAAAATGAAATTGAAAATATTCAAATATTTTTGGTTTAAAAAGTAAAAAGATTTTTTTCATCACTATCATAATTCATTTTCCAGATCTATGTATAATTGGAGGGTAAACAAGCAAGTAAAATCAGTGTGTAAACATTTCCGAAACTAATATCAACAATGCATCAGTGCTATCTCCTGAACAAATGAGTTTATGTGTTACTGCATATAGCAGATAGGTTAAGGTCTAATGATAGTCAATAAACATTGATCATGGACTGACTAGATTACAAGGGTATATGAAGTATATAACAATTACCACAGTTTATTTAGTATTTCAGAGTAAGGTTTTACATCACTTAATAAATATTTTACATTTTCTAAGAGATAAATACTGTTTTAATTAGTTTTATTACTGTAAATGCAATGTCTAATTTGTTAGGTTAACTGTTAAAGTATTTCATTAAAAGATGGACAGATACTTTGGTTAGATTTACATTTGAAATACCATCACCTCAATTATTTTCAGTTAATCTATCAGTTGGTTATTTATAATTGAAGAAAAATATTTGTCAACGTTACTCCGTTTTTTTCTATGTTACTGATAAAATCAGAAACTGTTTATTTAGCTCAATGTAGACGATAAGAGCACCATTTCAGAAGTACTTTTTTTTAACAATAACAAGAAGATTCAAATTCATCTTTCACTCCACATTCCAGTTCTTCAAGGTGCTTTTGACAGTGAAATGAAAACATTTTTATTTAATTAACTGCATGTACATTTATAGAAAATATTCAAATAAATTTTCATTTTTCAAATGGTAAATCATTCATTTTACACTTTTTACCAATGTTAACATTCAAACATAAAAAGAAAGAGTGTGAAAGCAAGTTAACAGAAAATGCATTCCAAACAAGACAAACGTGTTGCACTGATGATACTCACCCTTGTTCTAGATCTCTGTGTAAGGACCAATCAGAATATAAATATCACATCACAAACAAATACAAATACTACCAGTACATCAATTCTATCAAATAATTATCTCAATAACAAAATTTTAAAATAAAAGAAGAATGTGTCCATGCCCCAGCTTGTAAATATATAGCAAATTAAGCAATTTTTCCATTTATAAAGGGACACAACTCAAGAAAGGTGAAAGACATGCAACCGAACCTTGATATGTGTTTTTTGGCAATTTTTCTAAGATATAAAGGCACATAACTCTAGAACAGTGACTCACTGCCCAAATTCGAATTCTTGTCTGTCAGATTTGGATCTTAGCATTAGAATTTCGATGAGGAAAACTTAAGTCAGAGTGCAGAAACGAAAAAATGAAACAAAACCCCAAAAATCCCAATAACAAATGGACTGATCTGGCACTTTAACCTCCATGACTTGACCTTATATTTGACCTTTGCATACAAAATGTTTCAAGAAATCTAATCCAAATTTACTCATCATATAGATAACTTTAAGGAAAAGAAAAGCTATATCTTTTATGCCTGAAAGACACAATAAAAAGACACAGAAAAGAATAACTAAGTTAGTGTCATATAAAATCACTACAGTTCTAGTTTGACACTATTGAATGACTGGTAGTAACTTTAAAATAATACACACAATGGACATTATATTGTACATATAACACTGATTATGTAATTCTGATACAAAAAAATAAAACAAAATAAAAGCAACATCATTTATATCTCTTTGTTACTCAATTGAAAACTTTCACAAGACAATAAAATAAGATAAAAGCAAAACTGAAATTACATCAAATGAGATACAGTATGGATAACATATATATGTTTTATTTTGATAAAAAGTTGCTATGGTTACTTACTGTGCACATACAGACAGAACATTTGTCTTTAGGATCATCAAACATTTGTCCTTCATTATAGGTCTTGCCCAGTACAGTACAGGCCATTGGACAGGTACCACAGCAATGACCTGGTGGTTTGACTGGGTTGATACAGTTTAAAGGGGGACAACCCATGTCCTTACACTCCACTGTTCCGTCCTATAAAGATCAAATCAAATTCTACTTTTCCATAAATATTTCCACATCAATTGTTTACGGAACACTTAACTGATTACTATAAAGCTAGTAATATAAACAAGACAAGATTTAAGGTAAGAAATACATGATAATAATGTGTGATTAATTGAGTGTTGTTTACTTAACATCTAGTGGCAAATATTTCATGCATAATTAAAGAACCTTTGTGAGCACGCTCACATACCCCACGCCACCACATTGTCACCGGGCAAATAAAGTATCACCAGATTCCTAAGTTCAAAAACTTTTTTAACGCCTACCAATGTCAACTGATAAAAGTTTATTGTAGATATGCACATTTACATATTATGTCCTTATTATCTACAAAGTTTCATGAAATTCTGTTGTGTGGATTCAAAGAAGTTGCAATGACAAACTGTTGCAGAAGTATAAGTAGACCAAATTTCTATGTTCAAAGAGGCGTAACTCAGAGTTCGCGAAAATGGTCGGTCCTGTCGGTCCTGTCGGTCCTGTCGGTCAAAATGAGGCTCGGACCAGTATTTTGAAGGCTAGTGCCGGTCCAGATGACCGATGTAAAAATGGCCGTTGTAGTGCATATTTTGGCACTTTTTTACATCGGTTATTAGATGTACCGCAACTGTTTCCAATAAGTGTTTACATCGGTTATCAGATGTACCCGCTGCCAATTTCCGGTACTGGTTTACGGATTTATTATAAACAAACCAAAGCGGCGATTTACACGTGGCCTACTAAATTTGTTCATAGAGCCATCCCTGGCAAACAATCGGCGATTGAATCCTTCAATGGAGCAAACAAATACTGTAACAGCCGAGAAAGCGATTCAGATGATGAAATGGATAGTGAAGATGACTTTAAATAAGAATAATCAGAAGACCTGAACCGGTCCTTCATTGTTAATTTGCCTGTGGGTGCGAAGAATCAAACTAATATTAATAAAGTTATTTTTCGATAAAATATGTTATTAATTTGATTTCAGGATAAAATTGACAGATTTTGTAGGACTGGCTAAAATTTTGTAGGACTGACAAATAATCATGCTTTGTCGGTCCCATGACCGACGGGTCAAAATAAGTTTTCGTGAACTCTGGTAACTTCTTGAAAAAAAAATCATAATTTCATGTTGATATGCACATCTATCTAGTATGTCCTTGTTATCTACAAAGTTTCATTATATTCTGCTGTGTGGTTTCAGAGTAGTTGCAATGACAAGAACAGGACTGACTGACGGACTGACAGACAGACGGACTTACGGACTGACGGACAGACGGACGGCTGGGTCAAAAACATTTTACCCTATGGAACTGTGTTCCGTGGGGTATAATTAGGACAAGAATAAATCAACAGTAAACACAAAAGGTAAGTCCTGCAATAGTGGATGGACCAAAATGATGGGTGGTAAATTTGGCATGTCACTGAAAAATGAGGGTATGATGGATAGGGACAGTAATTTAACCTATGGGACCCTCAAAGAGTTGCTGCAACTGTTCTTAATATGCAGAAAGCATGGCACTGGCTCTACAAAAAGCATTGGATATAACCTCCAAATTCTGACTGCAAGTGGCTGCTAATTTATACATCCCACACAGTTATACTGACATCCTGCTTTGGCCACAGTTTTATCATACTGCTTGTTGGAAGATGACCAATGGATGACCAAATTTCTATACCCTAGTCAACATGCACTTAAGGTTTATAATATTGTAAATAAAAACAGTCGTCCCTTGATATGAATTAAACTAAATAGAACCTGCAGTCAATATCTGTCATGTAATATTTTTCCATTGACAGAATACCAATAAAAAATGTAGCATATATATATTAATGAGATAGCAACTCTACAAAAACAAGTAATGTTCATTAAGTTAACCAATCTATATTGAGATATATCTGTTGTTGTCTCATTAACATTTCCTTATATCTCCCTTTTTAATTCAATAGAATAAATATGTCGAATTTTCAATATTTAAAATATACTTCAAATCAAAAGTGTTTAACTTTAAATCTAATGCACTCCTTAAATTTTCTTCTTGCAAAGCATATAATCAAATACATCCAAAACAATTTACTAGTATATACTCATCATACCCTACAGAGACATATTTTACAAGCATCTCCACCTGGTGGAACAAACTTCTGATTATTTCTGAACTTCCTTCTCATAAAGAAACATCCTCTACAGGAAGGACAACACTGTCCTAGGGATGTGTCCGGGTGACTACAGGAAGAAGGTGGACAGGTCAGTTTCTTATCCTCACAGGTTACTTCTCCTTTCTGAAAACAGAGCAGTTATCATTATACAAAGGATATATTAGTCACAAAGTGTCAATTTCACATGCACTAGATATAAAAGTTACTGTATAAATTTCATTTAATACAACAATTTTGAAGGTTAAAATAACATATTCATTATTATTCCATCCTTTTTTTTCTTTACTATTGTTTGTTTTACAAATTATATGCTGGAATAATCATTCTGACTTAAAAATATATTCTTTTCGTGTTTGGTACTAAAATGGATTAACTTCAGCTTATTTTGTTATATCTGCCTTTCATATAACTTACATTACACTGACAAGACAAACATGGTCGTTCAGGTGGAGTAAACCTCTGTAGATTTTGGTATGTCTGTCTTCCATACTGGCATTCTGTACAAGTGGGACAACAGTCACCTTGTTGTTGTACTGGGTTCCTACATCTAGGTGGGGAACACTGTGGACGCTGACAATCCACCTCACCTGCAGATAATAAACCAGAAAAACATATGAAATATAGAATAAGGTGATCTAGTTGACCTGGCCTAGTTACCAATAAATATGATGACTATGAATTATACTACCACAGACTTGACCCTCGTACAAAAGTTTGATCAATTTATTGATATATGAATAGAATGATATTGCCATTAAGTGAAGAAATTTCCAAGTATGAATACAGCATTATAAAAGACAATATACAGATCTTCTAGTCAATACCATCAGAATAAAGTTAACCTAGTGTCCTTACCTTCTCTACAGATACACCTGGAACATTTATCTGCTGATATGGTATCGCCATGGAGATAATTTCTTCCTTCATATTGACAACCTAAAAGTATATAAATGCATTGGATCAACAGCTGAGAAAAGGTTTATAGTACATCATGAGAATATGGGTTGCTAATAGCTTACTATACAGTACAGGTTTTGCTCATTGTTGAAGGTCGTACAGTGGGTGACCTATAGTTGCTTACTTTAACTGCATTTGGTCTTTGATGGATAGTTACTTCATTGGCAATCATACCATACTTTTAATTATCTCATAAAGATGGCATATGGGATCGTAAAGATACACTAGACAAAGTGATGCCCCTGCACTCCACTATGAAGTAACTGTATCATAACAAAGTCAATGTAGGACTTTTTTTTGGATATTATTGTGTCTGGGAGACACAAATGATGCCCCCGCAGATGCAAAGTGTTATTTTAAAATACACAAAGTTGAGCATGGGAGCACAAATGTCTATGGTTCACTGTAGGAGGAGTTATTCAGAAACAATATGCACCTTTTATGCAAGTATATAATCCAAAAATGACAAAGTTCAACTATCTCCCTAAAGAGCAAATATTAATAAAAATCAAAACTACACCTTCAATATATGTACAAACAGCCATCAAAGTGAAAACTTCCTAGAATTCAAACTGTAGTAGGAGTTATCCGGAAATGCTATGCACCTCTTATACAAGTATATTTCCCCAAAATGACAAGGTTCAACTATCTCCCAAAAGAGCAAATATCAATAATAATCAAAACCCTGACAACATGCAAACCTTCAATACATATGTACAAACAGCCAGCAAAGTGAAAACTTCCTAGCATTCAAACTGTAGGAGGAGTTATCTGGTATAACTATATACCCATAATGGGACGGATGGATGGAAGGAGGGAAGGACAGACAGGTGGACAGACAGGGTTAAAACAGCATTCAAACTGTAGGAGGAGTTGTCCGGAAACGCTATGCACCTCTTATGCAAGTAAATACTAAAAAAAAATGACAAGGTTCAACTATCTCCCAAAGAGCAAATATTAATAAAAATCAAAACCCTGACAACATGCAAACCTTCAATACATATGTACAAACAGCCAGCAAAGTGAAAACTTCCTAGCATTCAAACTGTAGGAGGAGATATCTGGAATAACTACATCTTGGTCAAAAACCTCTTTTTTTAAAGTTCTCATTATTATGAATGTATGTACCAAGTTTTCAGGTTGATTTTACCGCAATTTCTAGGTTAACTACCTTAGACCAAAACTTTGACTTGATACAGGATAGACTAACTGATAAACCAAGACTTCCTGCTATTGTAGGTGAGGCATAAAAACATGATTTGACCACTAAGCTCTTTTTTTACTTCATCATACACCATGTTTTTGCTAGGCAGACATTCAGGACATATTTCTTTTAAACTAAATACTATTAGGATTATAGTGAGCAAGTTATGTCAAGATTGGCCAAGAGATTTCAGCAGAAAAGGTTTTTGAAAAATTCTTTCATTCAGTTTGTTGTACATTTATCTGCAAATAAAGAGCTGTGCCATGAGCACATGATATATGCCCATCACTTTTTCAATGAATAAAGATCCGTAACTCCTCAATGTCATATCAGAAATTGATTTTTTTTTAAACTCAAGAGAGGTTATTTTTCAGAGACTTGACTGTAAGTGTTGCTCTACACCTATTGCAATCTATTCAAAATTCTGATCAAGTTGCAATTTGTTTTATAAAACCAAAATTGTTCATCTGGTCAGAAATTTGACCAAAATTGTTATCATTGAAGTGGAATTGAAGTCTTATAGGATTGCACATGTAAGTATGCATTATTTCATCACCTTGCACTTTCATGACTTGACTATTGATTTCTACAGCAGTTTGTTCAAATTTCTGACCAGTTTAAAAACAGTTTGGTTTTAAAATACAAATTGCAATTTATTCAGAATTTTGAAAAAATTGCAATAAGTGGAGAGCAACACTTACAGTCAAATCACAGTAATAAATATAAACCTTTCACCAAAGTTTCATGAAAACTGCTCAAAGCACTTTTGAGTTATTGTCTAAAAAGGGGCATAACTCTTTTAAAAAAAGTTGATCATCCACCATTACAGAACTGTCCGAGATATTACTGATGTTTACCTATAGTATAAGTTTTATAAATATCTGGCAAGAATTGTACCCGTGAGAGCGCTAAGGATGCCATTTTCCATAAATTTCATATTTCCAAGGGACATAACTCTTTTAAAAAAAAATAGATCGTCCACCATTTAAGAACTTGTCTGAGATACTGCTGATATTAACTTATAGTATAAGTTTTATAAAAGTCTGGCTAGAATTGTATCCATGAGAGTCGGTCTGTCCGTCCGTCTTTCCGGTCTTGTTAGCACTCTCACGGGTACAATTCTTGCCAGATTTAAATACACCCGGTATTTCCATGTCCCCCGCAAAGCGTTACGCAGGTTACGCGGGGGACAAAAAAACTAGAAACACTTATGAACCACATCAACAAACGACCACCACTGAACATCAGGTTCCTGACTTGGGACAGGTGCAAACATATGCAGCGGGTTCAAACATTTTAACTGCCCACCTTCACCCAACCTGAAAAAATAGTGTAACATCACAACATAGAAAGACACACTATAAAATACCAATTGAAATGGCTTAACTCAATCAAAAGGCATACCAACAAAAAACAAGTGAACATACACTGAACGAATAAATTTGATCTATGACACAATGTAAATACAAAAATTAATAAAACAAGGGGGTTAGATGTAAAACAATATCAGAACGACAACCATAACCTTGGACAAAATACCGCCAAAGAAAATAACGTACACAGGTAAATAAAAATATTTTTTTAGTAAGGCATACAGTGGAGTACGGAAATATATATTACAAAATAAATAATTTTGTTGTTCATAGTATGAGAACATAAGTGAAAATTTATGATAATACCAAACACTTGGAAAATATTAAAAATAGTGAGACGAGATATATAAAACAGTAAATAACAAAAATGCATTACAAATTGTATCAACAGGTCAAATTAACACGAAAGTACGATTTGAGATTACTCGCAGTAACTGAAAGCTAGTTAAAAGCCAAAAACAATTAATGATAAAAAATCATGCATCAGAGACTATAAAGCCCCATAACTCAGAAACGTAAAATCTAAAATTTATAAAAAATATAATATATATAAAAATGTATAAAAAACCTAACATTGACCAATGAATCATGAAAATGAGGTCAAGGAGATAATACCATCTAGACCAACACGTTCACCATACGATCATTCCATACACCAAATATAGTTGACCTATTGCTTATAGTACTTGTAAAAACAGACCAAAACACACCTAGAGGCTCTAAAGAGCCTGTGTCGCTCACCTTGGTCTATGTACATATTAAACAAAGGACACAGATCATCATTCATGACAAAATTGTGTTTTGGTGATGGTGTTGTGTTTGTAGATCTTACTTTACTGAACATTCTTGATGCTTACAATTATCTCTATCTATAATGAACTTGGCCCAGTAGTTCAGTGGAAATTATTTTGTAAAAATTTACAAAATTTATGAAAATTGCTAAAAATTGATTATAAAGGGCAATAACTCCTTAAGGGGTCAATTGACAATTTTGGTCATGTTTGACTTATTTGTAGGTCTTACTTTGCTGTACATTATTGCTGTTTACAGTTTATCTCTATCTATAATAATATTGAAGATAATAACCAAAAGCTGAAAAAATTTCTAAAAATTACCAATTCAGGGGCAGCAACCCAACAACGGGTTGCCTGAATGGTCTGAAAATTTAAGGGCAGATAGATCTTGACCTTATGAACAATTTTGTTTTTGAAAGATTTGCTCGAAATGCTTTGGGTTTAGATATATGAGCCAAAAACTGCATTTTACCTTATGTACTATTATTAGCCATGTCGGCCATCTTGGTTCGCGGGCGGGGTCATCAGACACAATTTTTAAACTACATACACCAATGATAATTGTTTACAACTTTGGTTAAATTCATCTTAGTAGTTTCAGAGAAGATTTTTGTAAAAGATAACAAAAATTTACGAAAAAGTGTTAAAAATTGACTATAAAAGGGCAATTACTCCTTAAGGGGTCAACTGACCATTTTGGTCATGTTGACTTATTTGTAGAACTTACTTTGCTGAACATTATTGCTGTTTACAGTTTATCTCTATCTATAATAATATTCAAGATAATAACCAAATACGGCAAAATTTCCTTAAAATTACTAATTCAGGGGCAGCAACCTAACAACGGGTTGTCCGATTCATCTGAAAGTTTCAGGGCAGATAGATCTTGACCTGATAAACATTTTTATCCATGTCAGATTTGCTCTCAATGCTTTGGTTTCAGAGATATAAGCCAAAATCTACATTTTACCCCTATGTTCTATTTTTAGCCATGGCGGCCATCTTGGTTGGTTGGCCGGGTCACCGGACACATTTTTTAAATTAAATACCCTAATGATGATTGTGGCCAAGTTTGGTTAAATTTGGCCCAGTAGTTTCAGAGGAGAAGATTTTTGTAAAAGTTTACGGACGACAGACGCGGGACTACGGATGCCAAGTGATGAGAAAAGCTCACTTGGCCCTTTGGGCCAGGTGAGCTAAAAAGCTTAAGATTGACCAATGATCCATGAAAATGAGGTCAAGGTCAGGAGAAACCTGCCAGACTGACATGTACCCCTTACAATCATTCCATACACCACATACAGTTGACTGCTTATAGTATCTGAGAAACAGACCTAATCCCATAATATTAACCTTGATCACTGATCAATGAAATGAGATCGAGGTCAGGTCAACCCTGTCTGATGGACATGAAGGCATTGCAAGGAACCAATATACCAAATATAGTTATCCTATTACTCATAATAAGTGAGAAATTAACATGACAAATAAATTGTTATTTTTTTCAAGCAGTCGCCGAACAATGAAAATGAGGTCAAGGACAATGGACATATGACATACAGAAACTTCATAACATTAGGTATTTGTATACAAGGTATGAAGGATCCAGGTCTTCCACCTTCTGAAATATGATGCTTTACACAAATAGTTTACATCGCCACCGCTGCAGGATAGAAATACCTATGTCTTGCATACTACGACTATTGTCTCGCAAACTGTGTCTATTGTCTTGCATACTGCGACTATGCCACAAGCTAGACAAAAACGCCAAATATTGGTAAAATTCATCAATTATGGGTCAATAACTCCTATAAGGAGCTTACCTAGCCTGGGATCTGTGCTCACTGCTCAACAGTAGATCCAGGTGGAATACATCCACATGTATTAGTTTATTGGATGTTATAATGATGCACCATGGGATAGCATTATTTTTTGACACATGACAGAAAATATTTATACTGCCACAAATTTATTAAAAATTATTTTTTAAATTCATAAAAATTGAAAGTCCAGAATTATATAATCCAAACATTGTTGATTAACATCCTGATTCACCTGTTCTGATCGATATATTCATGGTTATAGAACATGCACATTCACAGCAATTTAGTCCTGTTTAGCGCTGAGAAGTGGTCATTGATTGTTTATGTAGGGCAATACTGACACAAAGAGGAGGTCTGGCCAGGATGCCAGGCTGGAGTTTACCAACAATTCTCTCATGTTAGACAAACTGGCATTTTACCCCTATTTTCTATTTTTAGCCCTGTCAGCCATGTTGGTTGGAAAGCGAGATCATTGGATATGTTTTTTAAACTAGATATCCTAATGATGATTCTGGACAACTTTGATTTCAATTGGCATGGTGGTTTCAGACGACGGAAACCAAGTGAAAAAAATAGCTCACTTGATCCTTTGGGTCAGATGAGCTACAAATTGTATAGATCCATTTTAAACTGATGCCAAGTGATGCCATAGCTCTCAATGACTCTTGGTCAGGTGAGCAAAAAATGTTGGAAGACAAAAACCTAAGAAGTTTAAACAAGAGATAAGAAAGTGAACATTCACCAAATGCAGTCTTCCACAATTACTGAAAGCCTAATACTATAAAGTAAGCTATAAAATACCAAAAAATATGTTTTTGTACAGGAAACTATTAAGGGATATCATTTGTTCACATTCTTTGATGGTTTTTTTAGATGAAGAAGTTAAGAGCTTGACATATTGTGTATATTAAACTTGTCTATTGCTTAAGACAGCATTTCCCTCTAGATGGTTATTTTTGTCCTTTGGTTGCTCTCTCTTTGATATATATCCAAAAATTCAGTTTTAATATATTAATAATGTATGAAAGTTGACAGACAAGGAAGATTTTCTACAGAATAACTTCTATTCAAGATATTCACAAGTTTTGCATTATTTACATAGATAATAATAAGCATTACATTTGTGACAGAACAAATCAAAAGTATTGGTATTCAGCTATAGTTATATAACATTCTGAGTTCAGGTCAAATTAAAATTTGGCACAATCAAGATTTTTCACAAAAACTGCAATTATATTATAATCCATATCCAAATCTAACAATTTCTATAAATAAAATTAAATAGTGTATTTTAATATTATCCAGTTTCCAAATAAGTTTTTGAAAATCAAAAACATTTAATATTTTCTTTGGTAATCTAGAGAAAATGTGATTTGCTGATCTTTAATATATTCAACATCTTTCTATTGCTATATAAATGCAATGCCATAAAAGATAAGAGTCAGTTAGCAATGTCCAAAATGAAGTAAATCATGGCAAATTACTGACATTTTGAAGGACTGCATGGCAAAAATATCAAAATATAAATCATGAATCACTTTAACTTCAATCAAGTGTTATAATATGAAATGAATCAACTTTCTTTTTGAATTAAATTAAATTATTCATTAAGTTTCAGCATTCATTTTAAGCAATATATCTATATAAATAAACATAGCGGTTAGTTGTTCAACTTGAAGTAGTGTATTTCTAAATGTTTCTCAAGTTCAGACAGATAAAGAAGTAGAATAGTCTTCCTCTTCCTTTAGATGGTGATAAGATGGTGATGTTCCCACAGATTTTCAGTGGATTGTTTTATTATACGATTTAATGTACATCATGCTTTAGTCCTGATCAGTGTTATCTGCATGAAATCATCCTTTCCTTAATGTTAATTCTACAGTTTTGGTTTGAATTGTTCTGGCATTGTTTCAAGTTACACGATTTAATTCTCCAAGTGCTGTTATCTATTTTTGGATTTCCAGAGTTTCCGAATGTGTTAGAATAGAATGTTTATTCAAACTTTTTGACAGTTCATATTTTCTACTATTCACAGTAATGTCTTCAAGTTTCTCAAGTGAAACAGTATTCAAGGTTTTTATAGTGGTGTAGGTGAAGCAGAACTTTTTCTAATACCCGACTGAGGGTGTCACAGATTTAATGGCTTCTGGTCCTCAAAATTGGTGACACATAGGTCAATGGTCTATCATTGATGATGACTTCTACTTCTGACACAATTGTTGGTAGTGTGTCTAGTGTTACATAAGATGTAGCTAATGTTCACCCGAAATCAAATGAAGAACTTCAATCATTGTCAATGCCATGTGGTTGCATGTCCTTGTAAATGTTCAGGTAGTTTCATATTTTGAAAATGTTAATCTAAATGTGTACAAATGACAAATGTAATGTTAAAGCGAAATTTTTGTAAAGGTTTATATTCATATCTAAAATAAAATGGTACAATTCATCTTTTTGATTCATTCCTTTTCACTGGATACATCTAGAATGTAGTCACTCAATATCACTCTTGTTCTTTACTTATGTGAAAGTCTCTCTAAATCTAACACTGAATTTCTGTTATTTATTTGATTAAAAATTTTCCTTTATATGCTCCAAGTTTTATAAAATTTCAATTGTTATAATCAATAAATATATGAATTGAATTGTTTCTTGTTTAGCTATGAACAATCCTTTATTAGTTTTTACACAGTTTTAAATCACTAGAATCCAGAATATTCCAACTCATATAGTTTGGCTTTTAATGTTTCTGGGCTTTCTCTTTTATTTGAACATCCTATATGCATATGTCCTTCTGTAGACAAAGCAAGACTACATGGGTATATTATTCCAATGTCATTGGCATTATAATAACCAATATAGTTCCCTTCACAGTTTAAGATATGTAGTGTACCAGTGCAGATATCTGTAATAACAATATTATCTGCTGGTGTTGTAAGCAGGTTTTCAGGTAAAAATAGCTTTTCTTTATCATTGGTTTTTGGATGACCAGTGTATACCTGTTTGTTTTCTCCTTCCTTTCCTAAAACCATCACTCTTCCATGATCAGAATCTACCACATCTATGACACAGATATAACCATTTTTGGTGCTGGTAATGTCTCCAGGGCATGTAAATAATTGTTCTTTGTTACTGTCTTCTTCATATTTTGCCAGATGTCTGCCATCTTGACTCATCACTATCACAGCACCCTTTGTTTTCCCTCTTCTTACACCTACTATAACTCTGTGATCGTTGGTAATATGAACACATTCAGGTAATGCTTGTGATGTATATGGTTGAACATCATAATTGGAATCTGTAATCTGTCCAGTGGTACTATTGACTATTTTAAGCCTTGTTTCACCTGCAGCTACTATAAGCAGGTTGTTGCATGCATTCATTACTACCATCCCAAAAACTTGTATGTCCAAACCTAACATAACCTCAATATCATCTTTATTAAATTTGATATGTTGTATTTTTTTAGAAGTATTATCAGATATCCACAGAGTACCATCAGAACAACTTTCAATCAGATGAACATTCTTCAATTTTGTGGTGAATTGTTGAGCAACTTTAAATTCAATTTTAGGATGCTGTACTTTGAAGTTTTCACCATTCTCCATTGATCCAAAGTTCAAATGTGTAATTTTGCCTGGCACGAATCTTCCTAATAACGAGAACTCAAGGATTGACAATGGTTCATCTTTGCTTAATGAAATAGCTAACTTATCAAAATCATCAAAGAATTTGACAAAATCTTTGGAAGTGATGACACTCTTTATAGAGTTACTGTCAGTCTGTAAGTTTGTAAATTTTTTATCAATCTTACTTTGTTCTGCTCCAATGACCCTGCTATTTGATTTCCATGTCTGCTCCAGATTTTTAACAAGATTATCAGCATACTGATCAACTTCATTCTTTAAAGCTTCCCTATGACTTACGATATCTTGCTTTGTTTGTCTAAATTTGGCATCTTCCTGGTCTTTTATTTCCTGAACTTTGTCTAAAGTACTGGACAAATCATTAACACTTCTATCTACTTTCTTCTGTCCACTTCTTATTACCTTCTTTTTATCTTCGAGCTCCTCTTCATCTATAAAAGTATGTCCATTGTGGACTTTGGTAACACACTTCACACAGATGACTTTTTTACAAGTCATACAGTAGACACAGCAAACCTGATTAGAATGCTCCAGACATTTAACATCACTAAAGTTAAAAGTGTCAATTTCTTCATACTGTCCCAGTTCTTCAATGTTTTTAACTTTATGATCACTTGCATTTTTAAATCTAGAATGGACTTTGCCCTTACACTTACTGCACATAAGAACTTCACAGTCCAAACATTTATATTCTATTTTATTCCCACCATCACAAAGTTCACAAACCACTGGAATTTGTCCCTTTCGTAAGGACTTAGACAACGCCATATTTATTCTATTAAGATGTCTGACTTTTATGCTTCACTGTCTATAATTTTAAATAGTACTATATTTATTTTTGTTGATATTGTATATAAAACAAAGGTAGCATTACTGTCTATCTAAACTTTTTGCTGTGTCATATACCCTATATATATATATATATATATATATATATATTGTCATGGTAGAAAGGATATGAATACCCATTTAAATATTTGTTAAAAACAAAAGAATGGTAAAATGTGCACTGCCAAATGGTGTAGTTAATGAATATCTAACATAAAATGTTATTTTCTTAATGCAGATAAAAACAGGTTCCGCAATCGGCCTTTGTGAATAATCTGAATCATAAATACACAATGTATTAAAAAAAATTAGCCCTGTAAAACGTTTACATTATATTATGTTATATTAATCCTCTTGATATTAATTGTAAGCACAAAAGCACTAAGGCCATACAAAGTAAATACTGAGTTCCTTGGATAACCCACGTGTTTAAAAAGGTAAACTAGAGGCTCCCAAAAGCCTGTGTTGCTCACCTCTATCTACTAAGAGGCTCCCAAAAGCCTGTGTCGCTCACCTCTATCTACTGTTGTTTTTCGAAATCATGTAAAATAAGGTTAAAATCATAATTAATAGTATTAGATACCCTAATAAGGATTGAGGCCAAGTTTGGTTTAATTTGGCCCAGTAGTTAAATTAAAAGCAGGTCATCCCATTGTAGGCTTACAATAGTTAATGAAGACCCCTTATCACTATTCAAATTAGTTTTCAAGTTGTGACCATTTTGAAATTGTTTTATTAACAATTTTCCCTTAGACTTCTATAGTAAAGCCTTATGTTCTATTTTTAGCCATGGCGGCCATGTTGGTTGGATGACAGGGTCATCGGACACATTTTTCAATAAGATACCCTATTGAAAATTGTGGCTAAGTTAAATCCTATTTGGCCCAGTAGATTAAGTGGAGAAGATTTTTGTAAAAGATTACAAAAATTTAAGAAAAATTTACTATAAAGGGCAATAACTCCTTAAGGGGTCAATTGACAATTTTGGTTATATTGACTTATTTGTAGATCTTACTTTGCTGAAAATTATTGCTGTTTACAGTTTATCTCTAACTATAATAATATTTAAGATAATAACCAAAAACTGCAAAAATTTCCTTAAATTTACCAATTCAGGGGCATCAACCCAACAACGGGTTGTCTGATTCGTCTGAAAATTGTAAGCCGGATAGATCTCAACCAGATTAACATTTTTAACCCTTTCAGATTTGCTCTAAATGCTTTAGTTTCAGAGATATAAGCCAAAAACTGCATTTTACCCCTATGTTCTATTTTTAACAATGTCGGCCATGTTGGTTGGCAGGCGGGGTCATCGGACACATTTTTAAACTAGATACCCTAACGATGATTGTGGCCAAGTTTGGTTAAATTTGGCCCAATAGTTTCAGAGGAGAAGATTTTTGTAAAAGTTAACAGACGACAAACGACGACGGACGACAAGTGATGACAAGTGGTGACCTTCTGCTGTTGTCTGTTCTATGGTCGGGTTGTTGTCTCTTTGACACATTCCACATTTCCATTCTCAATTTTAGTAGTCAGGTGAGCTAAAAATGCATTCTCATCTTAATTTACATTGCAAAAAAATGTCAGTCAGTTGTTAGTTTGAAAGTATCATCATTCAAACACTATATTTGACAATAGGACTGATCAAGATTTAAAAATTTTAAAAAAGCTTCTGTCCAAGTACCATAAAATTCCATGAAGTTTTGACAAAGTTATTGATGCCTGAAAAACTTCAACCTAAGATTGTCTCTGAAAGGGAGCATTATCTGTCAAATTCATGATCACTGATTTGACTCAAATTCTCATATTTAAATTATAACATACTAAAACGTATATCCCAGTTATAAAAAGTCTAAAATAAACAATTTACAATGCATGGGCTGGATAATATGTATCAGGATTTCATGTGTATTTTAGTCTAGACACCATCTAATTAACCATCGAGGTGACGTCCGAAGACTGCCGACGGTCATATAACCCCGATGTAAACATAAATATAGATATAAATAGACAGCGAACATGTGCAATTGGATTTTTCTATGTCTGTTTGATTTCATATTATAGGTTACAAATATGTGTTAATCATCTTGTTTACCTGTATAAAAATGAGTTTTTGTGGATCGAATCAGTCAATCAAATAGTTTACCCTTGTTTCACTTTCAATGTTGACATTCTTTTTCTTTTAATAACTGAACACTTCTAATTCATGCTTCACTCAACTCTAACTAAGGGGTTAAATTGAAGGTCACATGAATACGGATTCAATGAGGTGGAACTATTCACTTGCAAGTGAATAATTCATCAGCGATTTTTCTTGGCCTATTTTGCCAATTTGAACCAAACTGGCTGCTAAATGCGAATTATTATTTCACTATTTCACTTTCATTAAAGATTGAACAAAAAAAAAATCATATTTTAATTTTTTTTTATATCTTGTAGCTAATGCCCCTTTTATGTTAACTTCGAAAAAAAATTAAGTCCATTTTTTCAGTTAAATAAGTAAAGATGAAATAAAATATTTTCAAAATTATGCTGTGGATACTGTCTTCTTATCTTTTAAAATAAAGCTTCTGTCCAAGTGTTATAAAATTTCTTGAAAGTTTGACAAAGTTATTGATGTTTGTTAAACTTTAACCCAAGATTGTTTCTTAATGCTTACTGTGATACAAGTTAAGTTTCTTTATCAGTAAAATATGGAAAAGTTAAAATATTTTCAAAATTGAACTCCTGATATTGTCTTTTGATAATTAAAAATTTCTGACCACAAACTGAACCGAAATGTTGCTGATGCCAACACTGGAATATAGGATTGTTATGTCTCGCTTCCACAACAAAATGTTGCCATCACTATACCAAATATATTCTTAATTGTCATGACAAGACTGACAGTACAAAACAGTTTCTGTCTCTGTGGGTCATGCTTCTCCCCCTCATACTGTAAACTGTTATAAATACATATATTCACCTCCAAAAAATCATAAAAACTGTTCAGATCTCCACCCAAAACCATAGATACTCTGAACTGCCATGATAAGACGTGTCCAGTGCACCAAAGCTTTTATTCCTGAGGGTCATGATCCCACCCCTCTCATATCATAAATTATCAAAATATCTGTATAACTGTTCAAAGGATAAAGTTCACTTTTTGCAAAATATGGCCTTGAGTTTCAACATTATCAAAAAAAAATATCAAAAGGTCCACAATTTGATTCTTAAATGGATCTGTTTCAAGAGTCTTGTTTCTAGGTAAAGCAATTATCTTTATAAGAGTACCTTTATAGGCTGTGAAGTCAGCACATTTTTATTAAAAATTTGTACTGTTTTGGATAGCTAAAAAAAATTTTAAATCATGGGGCCAATTCTAACCCTTCATGAACTTCCTTTGCCCTAAACACCTAGACTATATATGTTTTAAATTGCTTGTCAATTGATATTTACTTCAGCTGTGGTTTTGAACATATCAAAAAACTAAATTAGGTAAATATTCATTTCATGCAGATTCATGTAAGTGAGTACAATCTGTCAAACATGTGTAAAAGATATCACTATGGTGATTTCAATACTGACACCTTATTCTAATCATAGCAGTATATATATTTCAAATGTCAGATACAAGTATACTCCCTTCAATGAATCAAAATGCCAAATACTGTTTGTCTGATTAGCATAATTATTTGAGGAGTAGTGGAAGAAATAGTATACAAGGACATATTCAAAGGGTCAGTGACAGAAATTCCATGTGAGAACGTTTCCAATGGGACAGGAGTAGAAAAAAGGCATATAAGAACGGACAGTCATGAAAAAAGCATGAGAGAGCATATTAAGAGGAACACAATTAGAAATAGATAATGAGATCATATTCAGAGAGGTAATGTTACAAATAGCATGTGCAAACATCCTTAGACGGACAATGGTAGTAAATAGTGTGCAAGATTAGAGCTATTGGGGCAGTGATATATAATAACATTTTAAACAACACCAGAGCCTTCATTTAAAAATAATGTTCTCCATTTATGCAATTCTTTACCTTTACAAATAGGACAACATGCTCCAGGAGGGGTCTCTGTAACTCTACATAACAATTGTGGACATATTCCGGTTCTTTCACACCTGACATTACCACGGTTACAGGTACACTGCTGACACCTGTCTCCTGGTTGTGTAAAAGTCTGACCATCTCTATAAACTCTCCCATCATACAAACAATCTGAAATTATATTTTAAATGAATTTTAAAAAGAATGCAGCATTTGATTCCTTAAAATGCTAGTCATTTTCAATAACATTAAAATCAAATACTATCTTAATCATAGCCTTAATATCAGAATTAATCACCAAATGAGAACTAACCAAATGTATTCATAAAAAATACAAAGCCAAGAGAGTAGATGGACATGCAAATAGAGGAAGGGATAATAATACTTATAGATACAATCCATGGTATGACTTTTTTCTCTGGAATTACTGTGACATCAAGTGACAAGAGAGAGTGATCATACATAGGGAGAGATGCTACAATACTGACAACTTTCACCTTTCCTGAGGATACCATGATAACAATTGAAATGATAAGAGGGTGAGATGTTTATACTTACTGCTTCAAACACGGCAACATTCTCATAGCCTAAGTATAACATGAGAACATTGCTGAAACAAAGGGAGAGACGTCAAAACTTACTTCTAAATCATGGCAATACTCTCCCCTCCTGAGAATACACTGAGCACACAGCCAGGACAGAGATAGAAACGACCATACTTACTGCTACAATCCTGGCAACATTCACCCCTCCTGAGGACATCATGAGAATATTGACCAGAGAGAGAGAGAGATATCTATACTTACTGCTACAATCCTGGCAACATTCACCCCTCCTGAGGACATCATGAGAATATTGACCAGAGAGAGAGAGAGATATCTATACTTACTGCTACAATCCTGGCAACATTCACCCCTCCTGAGGACATCATGAGAATATTGACCAGAGAGAGAGAGAGGCATCTTTACTTACTGCTAAAGTCCTGGCAACATTCACCCCTCCTGAGGACATCATGAGAATATTGACCAGACAGAGAGAGAGACATCTTCTTACTGCTACAATCCTGGCAACATTCACCCCACCTGAGGACATCATGAGAATATTGACCAGAGAGAGAGAGAGACATCCATACTTACTGCTACAATTCTGGCAACATTCACCCCTCCTGAGGACATCATGAGAATATTGACCAGAGAGAGAGAGAGAGAGACATCCATACTTACTGCTACAATTCTGGCAACATTCACCCCACCTCAAAATACAATATCAATACTTACTATTGCAGTCTTGACAACATTCTCCCCTCCTGAGGATATCATGAGAACATTGACCAGACAAAAAGGAAGATATCAATACTTACTACTACACTCCTGACAACATTCTCCCCTCCTAAGGATACCATGAGAACAGGTTATAAGACAGATCTGTTTGTTTCTACAACTGACCAGACCATCAGAACATTCACAAACTTTACATGGATCTGTTGATGATGGCCATGAGTCACCTTCAGTATAGTCCACACCATTGTCCCTACACCCTTCATAAAATAATAAAAATAAATCATAATTATCTGCAGAATACAAAATTTCCCTTATCTGGGGCTTTACTTACAAATCCTTGTTTTTTATACCTTTATTAGTCAGAAAACATGACATGAGAAATCAGGCCAATAGAAAAATATCTGAGATCTTAATTATTTAATTTAGAAGAATTTTAAGTTTGGAGAGTTAAAATCTGTCAAACAGGATGACCAATTATTTGTGAGTAATAATCATCTTTTTAAATCCATCAAATACATATTTACATGTATTAAAATATGACAAAATGATTTCTTTATACAAATGAATTCACATACCTGGACATTCATAATCACAACAGTTGGTTCCCTTTCTGACTGGATTCCTGCATGGATAGTCCGACAATGAGCAGTGAATAGGAATACATCTGACAATGGAGTTTTTACAGGAACAGTTTAAGCAAGGATCATAACTAGCAATAAATAAATCCCCATGTTTCCACCTTTTCATATCATAATCACATCCTGAAACATTTACAACAGAATTATAAAGAACATACTGGCATAATCCTGAAACATTTACAACAGAATTATAAAGAACATACTGGCATAACCCTGAAACATTTACAACAGAATTATAAAGAACATACTGGCATAACCCTGAAACATTTACAACAGAATTATAAAAAACATACTGGCATAATCCTGAAACATTTACAACAGAATATAAAGAACATACTGGCATAACCCTGAAACATTTACAACAGAATTATAAAGAACATACTGGCATAATCCTGAAACATTTACAACAGAATTGTAGAGAACATACTGGCATAACCCTGAAACATTTACAACAGAATTATAAGGAACATACTGGCATAACCCTGAAACATTTACAACAGAATTATAAAGAACATAGTGGCATAACCCTGAAACATTTACAACAGAATTATAAAGAAAATACTGGCATAACCCTGAAACATTTACAACAGAATTATAAAGAACATACTGGCATACAGGGCTCACACTGCTTCAAAATCATAGGGAGAAGTGACTTTTCTTTTTGAAACTGGTAGGGAGAAGTGGTGAGATTTGAAAGAGAAGTGCTTGTTCGCTTGCGGCGCTTCAATGTTTGGTTTTTACTATAATATAAAGGGCCATATGTATCCTTTTTTTTATATATCGGTGTTCAATTCATACCTGAGTCAATTAAAGTAACAGTTGTTTCAATTTATGTATTAAATAGTCATTTATAATTGCATAATTATATTAATCCTCTTGACAGAATCTACCAACTAAATATCTAGCACTTAAAAGAACTTTAATATCAAAAAAGGAAAAGAAAGTATCATATATCAATAAAAATGCAATTAAAAAACTATTCTGTTTATCATCTTAATGAAATTCGCTATTTCTCATTAAAAAGATATATAAATTTTACAAAGTAAAGCAACTTTAATCAATAAATTGAAACAATGCATTTACATGGAAATATATACATTTAGCCAGGAGATCTAACCAAAAGTCTATTAATGTGTGTGGAATGCGTATTTTCACTTTTGGGGTCATTATTCTATTGTCAGCTGTTCAGTTCAGTTCAGGCGTCTGTAGTTATTATAGTAAGAATACCAATTTCGGTCATAGCTGGTACACTTCAGATGAATTCTGCCTCCGATCCGTGGTTCGTATAAATATTTCAATGGCGGATGAAGAAAATTTACGAAAATAAAGAAAGTTTGACAAGCAATTGGGAAAGGAATATGACGCTTTTAATGCAATCAATGGATCAAACATTAACTAAAGGCAATTTTGATCACTTACTAATTATAATGAAGTAAAAAACTTATTTTGTCGATAATCAAAATGTTTTGATATACGATCTCCAGTAACAAGTACCGGAAGTGAAAGAAAATACTTCATAAAAGTTGTTTCTTTGAAATAACATACGACCAATCTGTAAAGTCAATACTTTCACATCTTTTCTAAAGAAATAAATCGTTTATGTTTTTTAATTTCTTCACTTTTAAATGAAAAATTTGCTGTTTCATTGACTTGATAAGAAGCGGAAATTACTGATGACGAAAGCGACTGCAAGCGACTATTGTGAACACCAGGGCGACTAGATATCGCTTTTGACGGTTGGGCAAAGCGAAGTGATGGACTGGAAAGCGACTTTTTCGCCCTAGTCGCCCGCTAACGTGAGCCCTGGGCATAATCCTGAAACATTAACAACAGAATTATAAAGAACATACTGGCATAACCCTGAAACATTTACAACAGAATTATAAAGAACATACTGGCATAACCCTGAAACATTTATAACAGAATTATAAAGAACATACTGGCATAACCCTGAAACATTTACAACAGAATTATAAAGAACATACTGGCATAACCCTGAAACATTTACAACAGAATTATAAAGAACATACTGGCATAATCCTGAAACATTTACAATAGAATTATAAAGAACATACTGGCATAACCCTGAAACATTTACAACAGAATTATAAAGTACATACTGGCATAATCCTGAAACATTTACAACAGAATTATAAAGAACATACTGGCATAACCCTGAAACATTTACAACAGAATTATAAAGAACATACTGGCATAATCCTGAAACATTTACAACAGAATTATAAAGAACATACTGGCATAATCCTGAAACATTTACAACAGAATATAAAGAACATACTGGCATAACCCTGAAACATTTACAACAGAATTATAAAGAACATAGTGGCATAACCCTGAAACATTTATAACAGAATTATAAAGAACATACTGGCATAATCCTGAAACATTTACAACAGAATTATAAAGAACATACTGGCATAACCCTGAAACATTTACAACAGAATTATAAAGACACATACTGGCATAACCCTGAAACATTTACAACAGAATATAAAGAACATACTGGCATAATCCTGAAACATTTACAACAGAATTATAAAGAACATACTGGCATAACCCTGAAACATTTACAACAGAATTATAAAGAACATACTGGCATAATCCTGAAACATTTACAACAGAATATAAAGAACATACTGGCATAATCCTGAAACATTTACAACAGAATATAAAGAACTTACTGGCATACAGGGCTCACACTGCTTCAAAATCATAGGGAGAAGTGACTTTTCTTTTTGAAACTGGTAGGGAGAAGTGGTGAGATTTGAAAGAGAAGTGCTTGTTCGCTTGCGGCGCTTCAATGTTTGGTTTTTTACTATAATATAAAGGGCCATATGTATCCTTTTTTTTATATATCGGTGTTCAATTCATACCTGAGTCAATTAAAGTAACAGTTGTTTCAATTTATGTATTAAATAGTCATTTATAATTGCATAATTATATTAATCCTCTTGACAGAATCTCCAACTAAATATCTAGCACTTAAAAGAACTTTAATATCAAAAAAGGAAAAGAAAGTATCATATATCAATAAAAATGCAATTAAAAAACTATTCTATTTATCATCTTAATGAAATTCGCTATTTCTCATTAAAAAGATATATAAATTTTACAAAGTAAAGCAACTTTAATCAATAAATTGAAACAATGCATTTACAAGGAAATATATACATTAAATTAGACCGTTGGTTTTCCCGTTTGAATGGTTTTACACTAGTAATTTTTTTGGGGCCCTTTATAGCTTACTGTTCGGTGTGAGCCAAGGCTCCGTGTTGAAGACCGTACTGTGACCTATAATGGTTTACTTTTATAAATTTTTACTTGGATGGAGAGTTGTCTCATTTGCACTCATACCACATCTTCTTATATCTATTTAGCCAGGAGATCTAACCAAAAGTCTATTAATGTGTGTGGAATGCCTACTTTCACTTTTGGGTCATTATTCTATTGTCAGCTGTTCAGTTCAGTTCAGGCGTCTGTAGATATTATAGTAAGAATACCAATTTCGGTCAAAGCTGGTACGCTTCAGATGAATTCTGCCTCCGATCCGTGGTTCGTACAAATATTTCAATGGCGGATGAAGAAAATTTACGAAAATAAAGAAAGTTTGACAAGCAATTCGGAAAGGAATATGACGCTTTTAATGCAATCAATGGATCAAACATTAACTAAAGGCAATTTTGATTACTTACTAATGAAGTAAAAAACTTATTTTGTCGATAATCAAAATGTTTTGATATACGATCTCCAGTAACAAGTACCGGAAGTGAAAGAAAATACTTCATAAAAGTTGTTTCTTTGAAATAACATACGACCAATCTTTAAAGTCAATACTTTCACATCTTTTCTAAAGAAATAAATCGTTTTATGTTTTTTTAATTTCTTCACTTTTAAATGAAAAATTTGCTGTTTCATTGACTTGATAAGAAGCGGAAATTACCGATGACGAAAGCGACTGCAAGCGACTATTGTGAACACCAGGGTGACTAGATATCTCTTTTGACGGTCGGGCAAAGCGAAGTGATGAACTGGAAAGCGACTTTTTCGCACTAGTCGCCTGCTAGCGTGAGCCCTGGGCATAATCCTGAAAAATTTACAACAGAATTATAAAGAACATACTGGCATAACCCTGAAACATTTACAACAGAATTATAAAGAACATACTGGCATAACCCTGAAACATTTACAACAGAATTATAAAGAACATACTGGCATAACCCTGAAACAATTACAACAAAATTATAAAGAAAATACTGTCATCATCTTGAAACATACATACAATCAATAAAAATACATAGCTAATATAAAGTAGAATTTTTACTATCAAATGGGAGATGTTTCTTTGGAAGTATAATGGTGCTTCCTCTAATCTATCAGGTTTATACAAATCATTCATGAACTATGCTAGTGGAGTAATTAATCTCAGTTATCAGAGCAGTGGCTTACTGTTCAAGGGGTTTTGGGTTCATTTCTTAGCTGTTATAGTGATAAAACCATATTCTACTGTTACAGAAGGTTAGTGTTTTGTACTGGAAGTCAATATAAACACAGGTGAGTCTATATCAGTCACAAAAAGCTGTTTAAAAGAAAAATTACATGAACATCATGTGCACATAAGCTGAGTTGCTATCTTTTTGGATTTATAGTAGAAGAAACAGATTTTTTAACGATAACATACTGTCCAAGGCTCAATTTAATCCCATATTTTTGGATATCAAGATTGAAAAACTTACTTAGCTTTCATTTAAAGAAACATACGATTTCAACATTTGGCAATGCCAACGTATATTTGTTTCCCCTAACAGGAGGTCCCCAGGAAACTTTGTTATAAACAATGCCATAATATCTGTTCTTGTTGAACAAATATTCTATAATATTTATTCTAATGGAACAAATATTACAAAATATTTCTTCCATTTGGAACTTATGTTATGAAGGAACTTCTATTTCATGACAACGATGTGTAAGTATGATGATTACAACTTACCGCTATCACATACTGGACAACAATCTCCAGGTTGGAATACAGGACTGTCACATGATGCAGGAGGACATTCTTTCTTAGTACAATCCATGTTTCCATGGTTACATCTACAGGAAGAACATTTATCTGGATTGTGGGTGTCACCATCTTTAATAACTTTTCCTTCAAAGTAACAAGCTGAAAAAAATACCAATCTGTTAAAAAGTATAAATACCTATTCAAGGAAAAGCTTTTATTCAATGAGGGGATCAGAGGGAGTCCAATCATGAAATCAAAAATGCATTTTTTTTATTTTATATTTTTCAAGTTATACTTAAGGAATAATCAAGAAAATGTATTCTGCACAGATAAACTGTTTAAAACATTTTGTTTAAGGATCTAGAGAGAAATATTGAAGCCAAAAAATTTTGAACTTCTTGCATAGTTTTCACCACTAAAATCATAGCTTAATCATTGGCCATACCATAGATGAACAAAAAATTATTCTTTGTGTATCACATCTGTGTTAACTTACAAATACATGTAGGACAGCACTCCCCTGGAGGTGTATGTGGGTTGTTACAATCAGGAGGGTTACATCTGATAGTATGACATTGTTCTTCTCCATTCTGGAAAACATTGCATGTACATATACAGAATTTTTAAAACAAATACTCTGGTAAATAGAAGCATGTGAAGAATTTCACAGTTTGGGTAAAATTTCGAACTAAGTGTACAATTTGATTTAATGAAACTAATTCCAATTGTATCAGACATTTAATAAATTGCAATAGGTGGAGTGAAATACTGACATTCAAGTCACAGTATAAGTACAAATGCATGTTATCTGAGGAAAATTAGTCCAAGTAAGGTGCTTTACACATGATCTTTTTCCATTTCCTGTCACATTGCTGGCACTTATCAATAGCTTTCAATACCATTAACATTATTCCAAATAGAAACGGTAAAAATATGTGATTTCTCATAATTGGTTTTTTTTGGGGGGGGGGTAAATTTATTTTAAATTTCTACTTTCAATCACAGTGAAGCTTTGTTTAATGACTGCTTTGATCATTTATCCAAAATATTTTCACTTTGTCAAATTTATACACAATAAAATAATCCACTTAGACCCCTAAATGTTTACTTACTAATTGTCTAATCCTTATGTTGAAATTCAGCTTACTGTGGATTCATTATTATTTGTGGGATACCAAGTTTTGTTGATTTCATGAGTAACGGTAAACCACAAATTGCAAATGTTCAACGATGTCCAAAATATCTAAATGCTTGTATGCAGCCGACTTTGGCAACACAAAGAAATCAAATATCCATGAAAATGCATTTTGTCCTCAACCCACAAAAATTGATATCCACAAAAATAAATGATTCTACAGTATAATTAAACTTACAATACAACTACAATGTTGACATGGGTTTTGTCTCCACCTTGTTCCATTCACCTTGTTACCACAATCCATGCAGGTAGGGCAACATTCTCCTGGCAGGGTAACAACAGTTTTACATCTACCAATATCTGGACAAGGTTTTCTCTGACATGTGACATCACCACGGTCACACATACATTTCTTACAGGAATCGGTCATCGGTACAAATGTACTTCCTGTCACATAAATTCTACCTTGGTATAAGCAACCACCTGAAACATGTACCAAAATAATATTTTAAGATCATCATAATAAGCTGAATCAAGAAATACCAAAAGTAAACATGGTTTTGACTGTGTTTTTAGTCCATGAACTGAGATTCTTTGTATAAAAGTTTTTATGCAAAATTTATTTCATAATATTAAAGTTTCATTTCTTGAAAATGAAAATAAAATTTGTGCGTTCAAAACATTTTTCTGGATTTACTTCATCAAGAATGCTCAAAACTAAAAATTTGAATGCAGGGTATGTATGGATACTTGATAATCTATTTATCTAGAATGAGGCTTAAACGGATGAGCCTAATCCATATAAGGTCATCTTTGCCTGAAGGAGTTGACAGATTATTTTTTTTAGTCTCTAAGTTTATCAAAGGAAAATTAAAGAAACATATGCTATAAATCATGACAGTGACTTAAAGCTGACTACTAGTCTGATGATACCCTCAGGGAAGAATAGTCCACCAGATGCAGTAGCCAACCACTGCTAGAGCATGAAAATGTTCCACTTTTATGCATCCAAAGTGGACTTTCACTTAAAAAAAAAGGGGGGGGTCCAGTATATTGGATAGGGGCAAAAATTTAGCCTTGCAATAATTCACCTAGAAAACTCTCAACAAGTTGTGGCAAGGGATTTTGAATGTGTAGAGTAGAGGGCAAGGCACTCTCCAAAAAAGCATATGGTTTAACATCCACACTGACTGGAGGCGAGTGAGTATTTATGCATACCACATTGCCAAATGATCCCTACCTCAGCAAAGTTCTTACTACTTGATGGGAGAAATCCAGGTCATCAAATTTGTATTCAAATCAATGTCAACTCTCTGTTTCAATTACAACATAAATTACAGATATTCAAAAATATTACAGGTTGGTCTTTTTTTCTCAAGTCTGTAATTTTTAATTCTCTAATGAAAAATTAGTTGAAATCTGAAATACCTTACTTCACATTGGGTATCTATATAAACCTACCTTCACAAGATGGACAACACTGGCCAGGACTCTGTATAGGGTATCTACATCTAATAGGTTCACAATCAGTTTTTCTGCAGGTTATAACACTGTTCTGAAAACAAATTTACCAAATAGATCAAAACAATATATCAAACGCTAAATTTTTTATCCCTTTTTGTGATGCAAAATTCATTATAAAAACTTTATTGATAAAAGCATACAAATATTATACTAATATATAAGCTTATGATTTGGAAATTTGAGCAACAAAATAATCTTTTTTCAGCGTACAACCATTTTTGTTGTTTTTTAAGTAGTTATTTGGCCTTTTTTTATTATATAATTTATTAACTACCTGACATTGACAAGTATCACACTCAGATTTCCTCCACGTTGACCCTTCAACTCTATCTAAACCTCTTTCATCTATACAACCTGAAAATAAAGGTAAGACAAGGTTTCAGGATGTTTTATTAAATGCGATATGACAATTAGCTTCTATTTTCTAGATCAACACCCTAAGTCATACTGTTAAGCTTCTAGCTCATAAGGTAACAGTATGCAGGAAGATTTGCCTCGCTACCTGAGAATCTCCAAGTTAAACCAGATCCTCTTATTCCTAAATGCTATGTGTATGGAGGAGTAGCAGAAAATATATTTTTTTATAATATTTTGTTTGAATCATCCTGAGATAAACCCATGGGTTCCTACAGTCAAGGTGAGAATGTTGCCAAGATATCACAAACTAAAGGTAGTTAAACTTTAGCTACTGTGGATTCATTATTCTACGGATACCAATTTTCATGGATTTTGTGGATAAAGGTGAATAACGAATTCAAAGATTCAACGAATGACACATTTCCATTCAGGTCATATGCAGACTTTGGCAAAACCACGAAATTAAATATCCATGAAAATGCAAGTTTTCCTCAAATTACAAAAATTGGCACCCAAGAAAATAAATGAATCCACAGTATTTGTAAAAATCTCACATATGAATTCATATCCTATTTGTATTTGTATTTGAAAGTTTGATAATTATATGCATTTTGTAGGCTGGAAAATCTAATTCTATAAGATGCTTCAAATTATATTAAAATTGACAGAAATGATTTTCAGCTTCATCTAAAGGATGGTATCAAATATTTCCCATATTTATATTAGAATATTCTTTACAAAAAACTCAAATTAGAATGTTGGAAATGTTTTGTTCCATTCAAAAGATACTTGGAAATTTCCTACTTCTCATTTAAGAAATCACAGTTTAATACAAAATCTTTTGAGTGTTGAGGGGATCATCTGTGGTACAAATTCTTTTAGGCAATATGATAGTGTTCTTAGCACTAGCACTAGGTATACAGCCTATGGTTTGACATTACTGATCCTATAACAGCCTTTGTAATACATAAACATTTCTTTCCCTTTGATAGTGTGGTAATGGTTTAATATTTAACCAAAAAGGCCTAGGTTGGTTATGAGGCATCATAAAGACAATTCGTGCCTATAGTGTATGATAACATTTTTGGAGTAGATAAATTGTGAGGGAATTCGATGTTTGCTATACCACGGTTCATTTCAACGCACTTTTTGACAATACCACTATACCAATCAGAAAGAATTTTTTTGCAGTGTTTTAAGAAATAATTTTACTTTGTATCCAATTATTATTTGTTAAACATTAAATGTTTTAAAAGGGTGAATTTTTTGTATTAAGTCAATAATTATGTAGACTTTTGAAGCCCAAACTTTCTATTGCCTTAAATACGCAAATGAAAGATCCGAAAACTATACCAACATGTTTTTGAAATTATAGCAAAACTTTTGGTTGACAAATTTTAATTTGTTTTTGCAAAAAATTAATTTAAAAATCTGTCATTTCCTCCCTACCCAGTTTACCCCAATCACAATGATGTGGACCGGTCATTGTAATTGAATCTTGCGCAATTTGATTGGATTAAGTTATTATTAGTTTAACTGCAAACTTTTTATTTTTTTTTCATACATGTATATTGATTCAATCAGAATATGCATGAATATGTACAGTAATTTAAATGACCTTCAAACTGGACACTGGACGAGTCCATATTATTTTTTATCAATGAAACTAAAGGTATAAAAGGTAAGAATTGCCACTTCTTATATTTTCACAAAATTTTCAACATATAGAGTAGATAAATTATTTTTAATAGCCTATTCCGGAGAAAAAGAGAAATTTTACAAATTAGACGTTTTATTCCATTAAACAAGTCATTTTTCGAAGAGAAATGCTGAAATACATTTTACGCACGGCCACACCAGGTAAAATTGTTGTTTATCTTAAAAAAAAAAAAAAATTCAGTCTCATTATAATGTTATAATAACAATTAATCGGTAGTCGGAAGATAAAGTCAAAATATGTCCGATCTGCCTATTTTCTTACATCAAAATTCAATATGATCGCTTTAAGGTCAATTTCGTCTACCTCACAAAATCTTGTTAGGCACTATAAGTGTTTTAGGAAAGTACTGTATAAGTGTTTCAGTTTTACTTGAATTTGACATGAACTGCTGTTTGAAATATTGGATCTAATAGAAATTCTAGATACTGATAAAGTAATTATAAGTGGAGAAAAATGTAATGCTTGACATAAAAGGGGAAATCCTATATTGTATGTACCTACCACTACATTGTACAGTTTTACCAGTCACCACATTATACCATTCTACAGAACAACTTCCACAACGGTTTACTCTACACACAGCATCTGGTATACCTGATAGTAAAATAAGACAACTCTTAATACAAAATGATGCAAAATTATAATCAATATGATATCTCTTTAATAAAATCAGGTTTCTTTGCAATTATTAAGTTGTTTGTAATTTAACTGTACTTCATACTGAAGTAAAATGATACAGAATGTAACATTATAAAGTATTTTCTGGGTCAAGGATTTTTTAATTAGTTGAAATTGATTTGACGAAATAGTCATCTTTACAAAACTTCCATGTAAATTTTGTATGATTCGGAAGATATCTGGAGGTAAAATACAAGAATATATATGGTTTATGGGTGGGGATCTTGACTGTTAACAAGTTCTCAAACAGGAACGGGGTGGGAGTGTCCCCAGGGGATTCCCTTTTATTTCAATTGATTTGTTTTATTGTCCCGTACAAGAATATATATGGTTTCGGAGTGGGGATCTCAACTTTTAACAAGTTTTCAAAAAGATGGGGGGTGGGGACGACCTCCATGAACTTCCCCAATATTTCATTTGATTTGTTTAATTGTCCAATACAGGAATATATATGTTTTCGGGGTGGGGATCTCGACTGTTTACAAGTTCTCAAACAGGAAGGGGGTGGGAGTGACCCCAGGGGACTCACCTTTTATTTCATTTGATTTGTTTTATTGTCCCGTACAAAAATATATATGGTTCAGGGATGGGGATCTCAACTGTTTACAAGTTCTCTAACAGGATGGGGTGGGGTGATCCCCACCCAGGGACTCCCCCCTATATTTCATTTGATTTGTTTTATTGTCCAATACAAGAATATATATGGTTTAGGGGCGGGGATCTCGACCGTTAACAAGTTCTCAAACAGGAGGGGGTGGGGGTGACCCCAAGGGACTCCCCTATATGTCATTTGATTTGTTTTATTGTCCCATACAAGAATATATATGGTTTAGGGGATGGGAATCTCAACCATTTACAAGTTCTTAAACAGTAGGGGGTGGGGGTGAGCCCCAGGGACTCCACTATATTTCATTTGATTTGTTAAATTGTCCCATACATGAATATATATGGTTTATGGGTGGGGATCTCGACCGTTTACAAGTTCTCAAACAGAAGGGGGTGGGATCCAGGGACTCAACCTATATATGATTTGATTTGTTTTATTGTCCTGTGATCATTATTGAAGACTGCCTGTGTCTATCACTTACTGTTTTCAAGTTATAGTCATTTGAAAATTACAAAAAATTAAATCCCATAGGGTTCTATAGTAAATCCTTCCCTTCTGTAGGCCCCTCAAAATACCCCTAAATAGACCCCAAGAAGAAAATAATAAGAACTGAGCAAAAACAAGTCTCCAAACTTTGTTTGGGAGATTTAATAACAAATAGTATATATACGAATTTTGTTATAGTCCAATTTTGTGAGGCCGATTACCTAATAGGCCGAGTTTGTTATAGTCTGAGTCTGTTTATTTTCCTGTGATCATTATTGAAGACTGCATGTGTCTATCACTTACTGTTTTCAAGTTATAGTCATTTGAAAATTACAAAAAATTAAATCCCATAGTGTTCTATAGTAAATCCTTCCCTTCTGTAGGCCCCTCAAAATACCCCTAAATAGACCCCAAGAAGAAAATAATAAGAACTGAGCAAAAACAATAAGTCTCCAAACTTTGTTTGGGAGATTTAATAACAAATAGTATATATACGAATTTTGTTATAGTCCAATTTTGTGAGGCCGATTACCTAATAGGCCGAGTTTGTTATAGTCCGAGTCTGAGATGAGATACCAGTATACTTTCGATACACTCGGGCTTTTACGTCTTTAATAAACATTTGTAAAAATCGTAGTAAAATAGCGTCGAAAAAAGTTCACTCATGAAATATTTTAAACACGGTATTCATTTTCTCTTCAACCGGAGGACGGGAGGAAACCTCTGAAACCGGGATTAGTGTACTCCCGTTGGGAGGCACACATATGTGGATCTCACGCATGTCTGAGGAATACTGATAAAAAAATAACTTAGAAACTGCTGTCTAGTGTAGATGTGTATTGATTTTATTTTCCGCAGAGCGCAGATCCGCGAAGTAGTGTTTGTGATAGCCATTTTCAAATTAAGTTGAATTCATTTGAATTATCGATGAGCATTCAATTCATTTTTATTCAAGCTGTAAGCTAATAAAACTAGAGGCTCTCAAGAGCCTGTGTCGCTCACCTGATTCTACTTTGGTTTTGGAAATCATGTAAAAATAGATTAAAATCATAACAGATACCCTAATAATGAGTGAGGCCAAATTTGGTTTAATATTGGTCCTGTAATTTAATAAAAAAATCCTGGTGGCCATCTTGAACAGTAAATCGGCAACAAAGTAGCAACACTTAATCAGCACCTCATAAGAAACATTTATGCCATGTTTTGGTTTCATTCTATTCAGTGCACCTCTAGAAGAAGCATAAATTGTATGTATATCCAATAGGGTCTTATGTTAAAGGAAGTCCCCCCATTGGCGGCCATCATGGATGAAGGATCAGCTTCAAAGTAACAAAACTTAGTCAGCACCTCAAAGGAACATTCATGCCATGTTTGGTTTCAATCCATTCAGTATGTGGTTCTCTAAAAGAAGACATTTGTATGTATTGTCCATAGGGTCCTTTGTTAAACATTGTCCCCATCTGGCAGCCATCATGGATGAAGGATCAGCTTCAAAGTAACAACACTTGGTCAGCACCTCAAAAGGAACATGCATGCCATGCTTGGTTTCATTCCATTCAATGGTTCTCTAAAAGAAAACATTTGTACGTATTTCTCATAGGGTCCTATGTTAAACTAAGTCCTCCGCTGGCGGCCATCTTAGATTATGGATCAGCTTCATAGTAACAACACTTGGTCAGCACCTCATAAGGAACATTCATGCCATGTTTGGTTTCATTGCATTCAGTGGTTCTCTAAAAGAAGACATTTGTATGTATTTCCCATAGACTCCTATTTTAAACTAAGTCCCCCGCTGGCGGCCATCTTGGATGATGGATCAGCTTCAAAGTAACAACACTTGGTCAGCACCTCATAAGGAACATTCTTGCCATGTTTGGTTTCATTATATTCAGTGGTTCTCTAAAAGAAGACGTTTGTATGTATTTCCCATAGGGTCCCATGTTAAACTAAGTCCCCCGCTGGCGGCCATCTTGGATTATGGATCGGCTTCAAAGTAACAACACTCGGTCAGCACCTCATTAGGAACATTCATGCCATGTTTGGTTCCATTCCATTCAGTGGTTCTCTAAAAGAAGACATTTGTATGTATTTCTCATAGGGTCCAATGTTAAACTAAGTCCCCTGCAGGCGGCCATCTTGGATTATGGATCGGCTTCAAAGTAACAACACTTGGTCAGCACCTCATAAGAAACATTCATGCCATGTTTGGTTTCATTCCATTCAGTGGTTCTCTAATAGAAGACATTTGTATGTATTTCCCATAGGGTCCAATGTTAAACTAAGTCCCCTGCAGGCGGCCATCTTGGATTATGGATCTGCTTCATAGTAACAACACTAGGTCAGCCCCTCATAAGGAACATTCATACCATGTTTGGTTTCATTCCATTCAGTGGTTCTCTAAAAGAAGACAGTTGTATGTATTTCCCATAGCGTCCTATGTTAAACTAAGTCCCCCGCTGGCGGCCATCTTGGATTATGGATCGGCTTCAAAGTAACAACACTAGGTCAGCACCTCATAAGGAACATTCATACCATGTTTGGTTTCATTCCATTCAGTGGTTCTCTAAAAGAAGACAGTTGTATGTATTTCCCATAGGGTCCTATGTTCAACTAAGTCCCCCGCTGGCAGCCATCTTAGATTATGGATCGGCTTCATAGTAACAACACTTGGTCAGCACCTCATAAGGAACATTCATGCCATGTTTGGTTTCATTCCATTCAGTGGTTCTCTAGAAGAAGTTCAAAATGTAAAAAGTTAATGACGACGACAGACGAGACTCTGTCGACGGACGACGCCGGAAGACGACAGACGACGGACGACGGATGCCAAGTGATGAGAAAATCTCACTTGGCCCTTCGGGCCAGGTGAGATAAAAAGAAGTAACTCAAAATTTCAAAAAAAATTTTGTGTTGTTGAATTGCGGTTTCATTGACATATATTCCATATCTCTCTTTATTTTCATCTTTTCATTATCTAATGCTTCAATAGTTTGTCCTTTACAACATGCAGGGAAAATTCTTGAAGTAGCCCCCATATTATAAAGACATTACCTAATGTCCTTATCAGCAATATATTGTTCAAAATTTCAAAAGTAAGTATTTTAAGAGTAAAATTCTTCAAATAGTAAATCTTTTTGTGCTTTAAAGTATAAATTGTTTGATATATCTCTTTTTACAAAATGCTAGACAATCACTACTCAAACTGGATATTTAATATAAAGCATACCTGGACATTTACGATCTCGACAGAGGTCATTATTACAGGTGACAGGAAACCTTCCAATTGGACACTTGGAATAATAATATGTAATGAAACATAACCTTCAAAAGATAAAAACTAACAATAAGATAATTAGGTGGGAATTCATTAAGTTAATCAGGTATGTTGTCAATAGTATTATTGTGTCATATCTTTGTTTTTTTGTCATTTTCAGAACTTGGTGCTGATGACAGATCCTTGATATTCTCTGTAACAAAGTTATTGGCAACTCTCTTAGACTTTAGACAATTGAGATCTTCACAAATTGTACAGTTATGCGTTTATTGTTGAGACACCTAATTGACTAAATAGTTGTTCTTTTTTTATATATTTGTGTTGTTGAGTTGCTATCTCATTAACACCTACCTTTGTTTTTTGCTGGAGGCAAGAAACAGACATATATATTTGTGTTGTTGAGTTGCTATCTCATTAACACCTACCCTTGTTTATTGCTGGAGGCAGGAAACAGACATATATATTTGTGTTGTTGAGTTGCTATCTCATTATCACCTACCCTTGTTTATTGCTGGAGGCAGGAAACAGACATATATATTTGTTGGCCTTAGACAGACTGTGTTCAGTTTACACAATACAAATACTAAATCATGTAAAAATATTCTTTGTACATCTTGATGCAAGAGCTCACTTTGTCTGATCTGGGAATTTTAATTTATTTTATAACATCATCTGCTTTTTTAAAAAATGCATTAGAATTAGATCATAAACATTAACCAGTATACCTACCTTCGATCTGATTCAATAGGTAACCAAATTCTCTCATCAGTAATACTAGAAACACGAGGCATGTAATTTGGATCAATCTGGTGTAGTCTTTGTTGTTCTTCCTGTAGTCTCTCTATCAGTAAAATCTGGTCCCCTCTGTGTAACCAGTTTGTTGTGTATCTCCATGAAGGGTAGGTACTGACAGCTGGACAAATTCTTACAATCACACGAATGGTCAAATTGTTAGCCTTGTTTAACTCAATTTCAGCCCAGCGTTTAATTAACACATACATTGGTCCCAAGAAATAATTATTGCATCCTTTGAAATCAAAACCTTTTGAGTTGAAACCAAATACATCAAATCCTTCCCTATCAAAACCATATTTGTTGAAACCATAGCGATTGTAGCCAGATGAATCAAAAATATTTTTGTAATCACTGAAAATCCACGTACTGTTTTTGTTAAAACCAAATGGTGTCACTCCATTGGTGTCAAAACCATATCTATCAAAACCCCATTTATCTAAACCGTTGGCAGCGAATCCGTCCAAGTTGTACATGTCAATGTAGAATCCAAATCTATCAAATCCAGTTTGGTCAAAACCTTGACGATTGTAACCATAGCGATCATATCCATTAGCATTGTATATTCCTCTAGTATCAAAATTTCCTGATTTATCATAACCTTTTACATCATATCCATTTTTATCATAACCTTCTCTGTCGTAACCATGGCGATCATATCCATAACGATCAAAGCCAAGAACTGGAATTCTAATATTACATATCAATCCTTCTGTAAGTGGCACATATTTGACACATAACTGTGATTCTGATTCTAAAACATCATCTGGAGTGACATGGAATGGAGCCATGGGAACATAACGATGGGTACTGGGATACAGTAATAACCCTTCAGCATGCTTCTTCTGCCATGTATCCCAAATCTTATCAATGAATGCTAAATGTGATAGAAATACTGGATCATAGGGACTGAAGTCTGACCCCATGTGACCTCCGACCCATGACTGGAATAGCTGAGATACTACTTCCATCTGTAATCTAAAGTTTGTATAGGATGGATCATTCAAAGCTAGTTGAAGATTTACAGCATCTGGCAGACTTATATCCTTATTGAATTTTCTCCTCAAACATGGGATCCAGTATGGTGGGTTATGTCCCTTGAATGGATGGAATGGCACACAACCTGTGACTCCTTCACCATTTCCACCAAAATATTTGTTTGACCAGATGATTGATTTATCTGGTTTTCCAGAATCTATTGTCCAGTCATAATAAGGAATCGTTAAATCACAATCTAACTCCTGAAGTTCTTGTTCAACATATCTCAAAAAGTATCTATGCCAGGGCAGGAAAGCATCACTGCCAACTGCCTGTGGTTTGTAATCAGCATACATCTGAGCAATCTGAAACCAACGTGATGGACATCCGGTTTCCATGGCAAGTCGTCTGACATTATTCTGATAGCGTTGGATTTCACCATCACTCATTTCTCTGATTTCTTTACGATTGTATGTTTGTCTACAAGCACATCTCAATACTCCTTTACTGTCACACAAGCATTCCTGGCAACCAATACTGACCTTTGCCCCTATTCTATATGTAGTGTTACCATAGTGACAACCACAGGACTCCCCACAATCAACATCTTCACACTTACGACCTTGACTGAAGGACACAACTTGATGATCTTTCTTCTTTTCTACAGATTGACATTGCCTTAAGGTCAATGACCTACACTTGTGATTGTAACCATAAGAGAGTCTGAAAATATCATAGCCTCTTCTGTTGTTACCAAGACAACTGTATCCAGCTCTAGAAAAAAGGAATTCATTAATTCTATTTTATTTTCGATAAGGGTTAATTTTTACATAACAACTTTATCAGAGTTCATGGCAATGTATAGACTTCAAATGTCTATAATATTTATGACAGCCTTTTTGTGCATTAACATGAAGCAATCAACAATCAACAAGCAATCAAATCTTTAAAAAATTATCATTAAGACCATTTATGACACCACTTCAACTAAAATGGCTGTGATTATGATAAAACTTTATTTAGATGCTATGGAAAAGAGCACCAAGGTCCCCTTTAAAAATACAAATAATGCACAAAAAGAAGGTTTTATCTGGATATTTCATCAAATAATTTGATTCTACTGTTTCTGTTTCTTATCATTTTAGTATAACTTTAACCTCATGAAAATACTAACCCTTGGTTCAAATTAAGATATTTTAATTACAATTACCCCTGAACATGGCCAAAACTTGAATTTTTGCCTTTTGATAAAAAAAACTATTTTTCCAATCTTAAGGACATTTCTCTATTGCAAAGTCATGAAATGTGATATATATAGTTGCAAAAAGTAAAATAACTAAAATACCGAACTCCAAGCAACAAACGAGACCAGTAAAAAGAAAATATAAATTTTTAAAATTGTGGTAATGACAATTTTTTTCTTATCACAATACAAAACAATATTGCTAGCAACAGACCAGAACTTTTCATGAGCATGGTTCGCACCTGTTATAACCCTCAACATTATAGCCATCTTTATCATACTCTATAATTCCATCATATTCTCCAATTCTGTTATATCCTAGGATGTTAAAGCCCTCTTCATCATATCCTTCCTGGTTATAGCCCTGTCTGTCCAGCCCCTGTCTGTCATACCCAGCTTTATTATAACCTGAAAAAAACACAACTGTAACATTTTACATCAACTCATACCTGTTTTATAGTACTTACAACTAAAACTAAATGATGCCATCAGAAATGTTTTAATTTACTTTGGATTTGTTATTGTTCATGGGGTATTAATTTTCTTTGATTTAGTGGATATTGGTGACCCTGATTTCAACTGTTCAAAATATATAAATATCATATAGGCTTGTCATTTCTGTGTCATTTGTTCTCTTGTGGAGAGTTGTCTCATTGGCAATCATACCACATCTTCTTATTTTTATATTGTATACAGAATTTGTCAATAAATTCAAGTATCCACAAATATACAATTTTTCATCAAACCAAAAAAATGTATACCCACAAAAATAAAAGAATACACAATATGTTTTTTCTACCAAATTTAAACTGTATCCCACTCCCTATCATGAGGTCCTCACATTTAAGTAGCCTTATTATAGTGGTCGCCTCAATTGATAAGTTGAGTGGGGTATGACATGACTGGTCTAAAGTAAATAAAAACAAAACTAAATCAATGTTAAATATTTGTATCTATAGATTCCTCTTTTCATGTTTCTTGTATCAATACTGCTTCGTTATTCAAATTAGATCATATGTGATTGCTTCATGTAACCACAAGGATGTGTTAAAAGGCCTTGACTGACCTTCATCAAATTTCTTGCAAGGGGAGTTGATGGGATGCTGTCTCATAGATAATCAAGTAGTTCTATAAAATTTGATAGTCATGAAGCTATTAATGTTTCTTTTATAAAAAGTTTTAAGCTATGTCATCAATTTTATATTGCAACATAACTTTTCAACAATTGCTTCTTTTGAAACCTGAGAAGGTGGAGTGAATCAGCTAAAACAAGATGTGTCTGAACAACACCAATGGCCCTGCTCGCAAAAAAAACTTGAAGCCATTCTTAGGAATGGAAAAGTCTGTGAATCCATAAAAATTGGGTATTACTTTACCCAGCATACTGATATGGACAATACAAAAGATAAGGTATAACTCCTATATAAAGTGCATATCATTAAACCTTTACCTTTTCTATCATAACCATAACTGTTATATATCTGGTTCCCTGATGATAAACTGTTATTGTAGGTCCTAACTTCTCTCTTCTTGTTAAAGCCATCTACATTAAATCCATATCTGAAATTTATGAAAAAGTCACAATGTCAAATTTCCTACTGCATATATGTTCTATTTGGTACCTACTTTTATTTGTTTGTTTTTTTTATTAGAATCATCTAACATTCATACATTTTTGCTCTTTGTTTCCCAAAATGAGTTCAATTCAAAATAATAACACAAATGATATGGTACTTTTAACCAGAGCTTTTGAAATAAGTATGGAGTACAATTCCATGTAAAGCATGACATGTTATTTTTATTTTCAAAAAGAATACCTGAATAAACATTTAATTTGCCACTGGACGTTAACCAGCCATCCATCCATCAAAAAGAATACAAAGTCTACTGTTTAAAAGTAATTTCTATCATATAGTTTATCAGTCTGCATACTAATGGCATTCAGGAGCTTTACAAGATTTTACTTCTAGATGAATACCCTTAAATGGCATATTCTTACTCATAACCAAACCCTCTCTTATTTCACTGAACTCAAGTTTTCTTAAACAACAGGCTAGTATTAAAACTGTTTGCTCAGTGAGTATCCTATCCTGTCAAAGCCCTTCTCATCATAGCCAACTGCTGTGTCTTTGAAAACAGGATATATATAACAACAGGCCATTATCTACATTGCGCCTGACAGAAAACAGGATATATATAACAACAAGCCATTATCTACATTGTGCCCAACAGGTAACCAGTTTACATATCCTTGTTCTGTATCCCTTACCTATCATAGCCTTTCTCATCATAGCCGACCACTTTGTCTCTGAAAACAGGATATCTATAACAACAGGCTCCTATCATACATCTGGTCTGACAGGAAGGATAATCAGGGAAATTGTTAGAGTTGCCTCCACATCCAGTATATATAAACTCCTCACATCTCTGGGTGACATAGTTATAATACCATCTGGTTACTCTCCTGTTACAAGAACCTAAAATAGGAAAGAACATGACTATTCTTATCATCACGAGTACAGCTTTGAAGGATGACATTATAAATTCCAGCAATTAGTTTCAAATCGTATTCATGATGAAGTGGTTTAAAATTAAAATAACAAGAACCCTGTTTTGAATAGCAGATAACCCTGGCTCACAAGGTCAAAACTCAGCAAAGACACATTACACCACTTTGATATATTCTGATTCCAAGCCAAGCATTCTTTGGTCTTATCTTTTTTAAAAATATTGCATATATCTAACAAATATATACATGTAACAAAAAACTAAATTCCAGTATCCTGTTTGACTTGTTAAACAAAAGATTTCTAGACCTTGCAAACTCAAGCCAAGAACACAATTACCCATACTATAGGCTACACGTACATTTACAGTTTTGTATTTCAACTATGAACCATCTATTTATGTAGGACCAGTCTGCACCAAAATCTTTTCCAACTACTAGTTCGAAAACCAATATTCTGACATTTTTCTTATGTGTCCAAACAAAGTTTTTGAAAATACTTGCTAGTCCAAATAAAATTGTACTAGTCAAAAGCATCTGACTAGTGGCTAAAGGTGCAGACTATAGGACACAATTATGTATAGGGTACTTGTTTATCTTACCTGGACTAACAGGTAGACTGCAGACTTCTATAGCTTTGTTTTGACACAATTATGTATAGGGTACTTGTCTATCTTACCTGGACAAACAGGTAGACTGCCGACTTCTATAGCTTTGTTTTGACACAATTATGTATATGGTACTTGTTTATCTTACCTGGACTAACAGGTAGACTGCAGACTTCTATAGCTTTGTTTTGACACAATTATGTATAGGGTACTTGTTTATCTTACCTGGACTAACAGGTAGACTGCAGACCTCTATAGCTTTGTTTTGACACAATCATGTATAGGGTACTTGTTTATCTTACCTGGACTAACAGGTAGACTGCAGACTTCTATAGCTTTGTTTTGACACAATTATGTATAGGGTACTTGTTTATCTTACCTGGACTAACAGGTAGACTGCAGACCTCTATAGCTTTGTTTTGACACAATCATGTATAGGGTACTTGTTTATCTTACCTGGACTAACAGGTAGACTGCAGACTTCTATAGCTTTGTTTTGACACAATTATGTATAGGGTACTTGTTTATCTTACCTGGACTAACAGGTAGACTGCAGACTTCTATAGCTTTGTTTTGACACAATTATGTATAGGGTACTTGTTTATCTTACCTGGACTAACAGGTAGACTGCAGACTTCTATAGCTTTGTTTTGACACTTTGGTCCATCAAATCCTGGTGGACACTGACATGTTACTAGGTGTGGTTCATTTGTCCAAACTGATGGGACACAGGTACCTCCATTTAAACATGGATTTGGTTCACAGAAATCTGAAACAAAATAAAGAAGAAGTTTGTATATAATCCGTAAACTCCCCTGTAAGATCTACCAAAACACATGAATTAATACAGTATTACTTTCGCTTAACATCAATAGGAATCTGTCACATCAACAAGTACATGAACATGGATTTAATTCACATATGAAACAAGTGAAACTGCGAGCTACTGCTCACTGATGATACCCCCGCCCAAATATGTATTTGGAATATTTAAAGTGTAAAATGATGTAAGTGTTCGGTAAACAAGAAGTTGTTGAGTGATGAATCTGAAAACGCATCACACGGTATAGCTGACTTATATAAATCCTGAAACCAAATTTCAGAAATCCTTATGATGTAGTTCCTGAGAAAGATGCGAGGAAAAATATTCATGGGAAGGATGAACGGACTGACATTGGACGGACTTTTTTAAAGAGGGGGTATAATGATAAATCTATCAAGTTTAATTTCTGAATTGCAGACCTAATCCAAAAACTTAAATCTGACCTCTGAAGTATATACTAGGAGTTGTACCTACCTCTTTCTTCCTGACAATTCACCCTCCTCCCATCCAGGAACCACACAGCTTTACATTCCCTACAGAAATCAATATAACATACAGACTCCGGGTAGGATGGACATGAGGTTGTCTGGCATGGGTTCTCTGTACATCTGGCAATACTATCACATGCACATAACGATAGGAATGAGGTTGTATCAAAACAAAACCTTGAGGATGGTAAGGTTAGAGGTGAAACTGGTGTCTGTACTGGTACCATGGCTGAAATATAAAGTCAAGGCTGAATAACTTTGGAGACTACAGACAACATATTAAATAGAATCTTGATGGATGGAAGGAAAAAAGGTAAACTTAAATCTTGAATGATACCATATGAATGAAGTTCAAGGTTGACATAAAGAATTAACTTTATAAGAGCTGACAATTTTCTTCTAAACAAAATGTAAAGGCTTTAAACAAGTAACAAGTCTACATTCCACTATTAAGTTCATAAAATACTAACGCCACAAGTGGGGTTGAAACTCACAACCTCAGTGTTGACAGGCTAGTGATACAGTAGTTTAACTACTTAGACCAGTCGGCCAAGGTAACTATTGTAGTCATAAAAATATTAACAATAAGTTAAGATTTCCATCAGTATGGATTTTGACTTAACTGCTCATAGGAATGTTTTTAATTAAAGGGAAGTTACTCATCGTTAACTTTTTTTGTTGGTAAAATTTGCTATACAGCATAGTTAACTGCAAACTATATAAAATACTAACATGTGACATCCTTGATTTGTCCCATCCAAAAGTGACTTGCCCATTCAGGTGTGACTGTATTTAGCCGTGGACACATCCTAGGTACTGACATAAGAAATCCCTTGTCCTGTGATGATAGTATCTCCCAAACTCTATATGACTGTAGTGCAACAAAGGGTCCATTGAACAGGTAGTTACAATGACTTATGTCATAACCTCTAACAGTGAAACCATACTTATCATAACCTTCTCTGGACAAACCTGAAAAAGAAAAGTGATATACGTTACTCTCTTTCAAAAGTCAATGGGTTAGTTTGTATCTACATTTATTTAATATGCCTACAAGTACTTGTAATATATTTGCAGCATGAAAAAAATATCTAGAAGAAGTTGTTAATTGGTTTGTTGGTTTCTATCAAATGTTTTTGGCAATTCCTGTTGTTCTTCTTTTGTATGTAATTCATAAGAAACTATTTTTGTGTTTTGCTGTCCATGCCCAGATGACCATTTGAAGTAATGTAAGCAAATCAGGAATTTGTTTTGTTTATTTTTAAATTGAAAACTGCAAAAAATTGTGAAAAATTGTTAGCTATTTATACATCACATCTTTTCTGCAAAATAAACTTAAATTTTTTCTTTCTATTACAGTAAGTAACTTCATATATTTTGAGCGTTCAAAGTGGTTCTTACATACCTAGCCTGTTAGAACAAAAATCATCAAAACCATCATCACTATAGCGGCCAGATGAGTCTGGATTACCATTGACATCATATCCATTTCTGTTGTAACCATATATAGAATAGCCTTTTACATTGTAACCATAGCGATCATATCCTTGACGATTATATCCATTCAAGTTGTAGCCATCTCTATTAAAGCCTATGACAAAATATTAAGATTAATCACATACAATGATGCAGTTGTCTCCTTGAAAAAGGTAAACAATATACATTTATTTTCCTTTCCTTAAGAAGATATAAAGTTTATTCACCCTAAAACATGCAATTTTCCCAAGGGCATCTCAGGCAAATATGATATTTAGACGATGAACAAATCTTCATATTTGAAGGCAAGGGGAATATTTTCTTTGACTTCCAGAAAAAGCGTTCAAGAACATTTCTCATAGCCCTAGATTTTCTAATTATATTGCATAAATAGTATATCTATCATTGATTAAATTTAACAAGATATTTTTTCTGTTTTGATTTTAAAGAAGGAATAAAACAATTTTATTTTATTTTATTAAACATGATATGAACAATAATTTGGCTGTGTAAAATAGTGTTTAAAGATGAAAACCTTACCAGATCTGTGGTAACCATTCCTATTAAATCCACTTCTATCAAATCCTTGTTCATCATAGTAAGAACTGTATCTGTCTACAGCATTAGCTGGAATATCACCTCGATCTTCTGTGTCCTCTCTTACATCATCTGTTCTATTACATGGATGACCTCTGGAGGTCAAAGCATAGGTCACACAGAGGTCATTCTCAGAGTCAAGAACACCACTAGGTTGAACATTGAATGGAACCATTGGTATATTACCGTAAGCAGCAGGGAATTTAAATTTGTTGTTACCTTGTTGTTGCCAATCCCAGTATAGTTTATCAATGAAAGCGTGAATAGCAAAGAATACAGGATCATAGGGGGAAGTATTTTGACCCATATCCCCACCAATGTACTGATGGAGGTAGCTGACATAGGCTTCCAAACATAAACTCATTTCTGTGTAATCCTCACTACTGATGGCAAGAGCAAGTTCAACTAGAGAGGGAAGTTGGATGTTTGAATTGAAACGCCTACGTATACAAGGTCTCCATGACTGACCAAATGGATGGTCCGGAACACAGCCCTGTCTTCCTTCACCATTCCCACCAAAAATGTTTGGCTGCCAGATTATGGCATTAGCAAAATCCCCAATATCTGTTGTGAAGTCAAAATATGGAAGAGTTACTGTACAGTCTACTTCTTGTATAATTTGTTCTAAATTTCTCAAGTAAAATCGATGCCATGGGAGAAAGAATGCACTTCCGTGTGAGAACATGCCATGATGAATATACATATCACGCATCCTGTCCCATGCATTCCCAGGTCCAGATTGTTTGACCTGTTGAATAGCCACTTGTAATGAGATTAGTTCATCTGAAGTCAGGTCACGAATTTCCTTTCTAACTGATGGTCTTTCACAGCTATAAATAGAATAAAACAAGATCATAGAATATTTTGCTTCAATCATTTAGAATAGAATTTTATGTAACAAAGAAAAAAAAATCCTTGTCAGTATCAAAGAAAACAACATATAATGCAACTCTTTGTTTTGTTTTTTTACTTTCAAGTTTTGAGTAAAAGCTTTTATATTGAGCAATATTTTGCTAATCAAAATAGGTTTAATATATAAACAAGTGCATTTTAATAAAATATAGAAACAGCAACATAAAATATCATTTGGCTCTGAAACAATGGATTAAATACTTGCATTGCACACAATGTTTTAACAAAAAATTGGCCCTATAATGTTATAGAACCCAAATTGCATTGAGTACCCAATTTACACCCATTTTGCAAAAAAAGCGACAGAAATCTTATGTTTTTCTCAGAAACTTAACAACTCATATTTTTATTGTTTGTCATAATACGGGTCTTTTAGCATTCTCGGGTAAATATTTTTAAAGATGCACAAAACAGTCACTTTTTATATCAACAAGAGGTGTCTCCAGTGAAAAAAGTAACATTTACAGAAATTAAGGTACTCCTCATTACAGAATCTTGGATCTTTTGGAGGTTGGTTCACACCCATTTTTCTATGATTCAGTTTGGATTTAAAATTAAATTTGGGGAACTATATAGTAAATAAGGATACATCTACAAAATAAACACAGACGGAAAATTGTGTCTGCTACTTAAATAAACGAAGATGAAACCACTGTAAAAAAAAGTGCAAATTTGTTACCCTCACATTATATGTACAAGTGGAAGATGCTTTTTCCTATGCTAAAACATGTCTTATTTTTACAAATGAGGTGTTGGCAGGAAGAACTAAATTCAAATTTCACATTTTCAGCTTGAAAACTTCCACATCAAAATTATGGACACCATACATTCAAACGATAGATGAAAGATAAGTATACATGTCAGGGAAGTTGTGAAACAGTTTGAAAGGTTAACCTGCATATCCATAGATTGTCCACTTCACAAGTACATCTCTGCTGACATGACTGTCTAACTTCTCCTGGTTTATACACCCTGTTACCATAGGAACAGCCACTAGGAGCTGCTGTACATCCTGCATCATTACATGACAATCCAGGGAAGAATCCTATGACTTCTGTTGTATAACCGCTAAATGTTTTCCTATGGACACCTTTACATTCCCCTAGATTTAATACCTGTCAAAATTACATGGAAATACTATTCATGTATAGTTGCTAATCATCATAAATATACATTGCTATGTATTTTTTCATGTTTTTTTTATATTTCTTTTCACAAAGTGAGACTTGTATTTCAGGTTTCTGATATATCCAAATCTTAAACTTTAATCCTTTAAGTAAAAATATTGGAAAAGTCAAAATTCATAGATATAAGAAGATGTGGTATGAGTGCCAATGAGACAACTCTCCATCCAAGTAGGTCAAAGTAAGGTTTTCAACACAGAGCCTTGGCTCACACCGAACAGCAAGCTATAAAGGGCCCCAAAAATTACTAGTGTAAACCATTCAAACGGGGAAAACCAACAGTCTAATCTATATAAAAAATGAGAAACGAGAAACACTTATGAACCACATCAACAAACAACCAAACGACTGAACATCAGATTCCTGATTTAGGACAGGTACAAACAATTGCAGCGGGTTTAAACGTTTTAATGGTACCAAACCTTCACCCTTATTTGAAACAATAGTGTAACATCACAACATAGAAAGACACACAATAAAATATCAATTGAAATGGCTTAACTCAATCAAAAGACATATTAACAATAGTGAACATACATTGAACAAATAAATTTGATCTATATTACAATGTAAATACAAAATAAATAAACTAAAGGAAGTCAAAATTAAGTAACATGTTATACCGCTGTTAAATCAGGGCTCACACTACTTCAGAATCATAGGGAGAAGTGACTTCTCTTTTTGAAACTGATAGGGAGAAGTGGTGAGATTTGAAAGAGCAGTGTTCCTTCGCGCGTTGCGCTACAATGTTTTGATTTTACTATAGTATAAAGGGTCATATGTAAATAATGTTCTTTTTATATTGTTCAATTCATATCTGAGTATACAATTAAATTAACAGTTCAAATTCAAAGTTGTTTAAGTTTAGGTTCTTGTGAGAAACTACCAACTAAATATCTAGCACTAAAAAGATGTTTTATCAACTTGGTAAAATTGAAAATGTCCGATGACGAAAGCGACTGAAAGCGAGTATCGTAAACAACAGGGAGACTTGTTTTCGCTTTTGAGGGTCGGGCAAAGCGAAGTGACGGACGGGAAAGCGACATTTTCGCCCTAGTCGCCTGGTAGCGTGAGCCCTGGAAATGTTAAACAATTTAAGAAAAACAATATGCTTGAACAAAAATATCAGCCATTTGCAAATACATTAATTGTTTAAGATTTTCATAGCTAGAAATCAGAATTTTTTTACTCATTTGCATACTGCTTATTCATGCACACAGAAATTTCTGAATTTAAAGTACTCATCATTGTGCTTAATGCTTGAGGCAAAATAAATTATATAGGACATTCAGAAAATTCTCAAAAAAGTACTTACAATCATTTTCCTGAAGTTCAAAATGGAGTGCATTCCAAAATAAACAAAATGTGGTTTACACAATTTTATTGGAGGAAAAACTCAGAGTGCCTAGGGTTTCTTACAAATGTTAAACTGCATGGAAATGAAACATGAATAATGAAAAATTCTAAAAGTTTTACAAGAAGCGTATTTGTCTTAATTTTATTTCAAAGACATTAACAACATAGGGGTTGCTTAAAAAGGGACAAGGTTAACTTTGACCAAATATGTAAATTTGAACATTATCATTCAACATCCAAAAGGCCATAATTTGTTTCTTAAATTGATCTTTTTCAAGAGCCTTATTGCTCTGTAAAACATATTTCCTCATTGGAGTACATTATAGGCTCTACAGGCAGCACATTTTAAAAATATTGTCAAAATACAATGATATTGTGCCTTTTTTCGGTCATAAAAGCTTTAAGAAAATATACAATACAATAGAACAAAAGGTACCAATCACTATATTTGATCTTACCTCCTATACATTTCTAGGAATATGATTGGTTAAAAGCAACCGCGTGGAGACCATGTATATTTCATATGGGGTTAGTAGGTGGGGCTTATTTCAATACACGGTTTGTAGTGGTGTTACGTCCCTTTGTAAAAACATCACGGTTATGAGGAAAAATCTGAAACGTTTCTCCTGGACAACAGACGAAGAAATTGATGATGAACGATTGAATTATATGCTGAAAACACATTAAAAGCTAACAAGTTGTTATTGTTGGCATTTGTTTTTGTATAGACCAATGGATGTAGGTTCTTAATATTGAAGACTTTATCACTTTGATAGGCCACATGTTCAGATAGTCGGTAAGATAAATTCGTTACACAATGTGCTAGTGACCCAATAAGATATATATGGGGTCAATAAATTCCATATGGGGTTCGAGCTTCGCTCTCATCCCATATGGAATTTACTGACCCCATATATATCGTATTAGGTCAATAGCACACTATGTAACTAAAAGTATCCCTGGACACAAATATTTTCTGGATCAGGAGTTGTGGCAAATGTAAGTTATGCTAAAAAAAAATTTATAAATTTTGGTGAAATTGGACCAAACCTGACGTTATTTTGTATCAAAAGTAATATCACAACTATTTCTAAGTGAAATTTGCAGTTTTTTACACGATTTAAAAAACATTAAAATCTGAGGGTCAATTTTAATAATGAACCTACTCCTTTGTTCTTGTAAAGACTATATATAGCAAGGAAGCAATTTACAAAAGTTAAGGTTAAATTGAAAACTTAAATGTCGCATCCTTCAGTACATTTAAACATTTCTTTAAGGTAACAAGTTTAGCAGAAAAGTGTTCCAATGATTAATTCTTATAAGCCATGTCACTAAATTGTATATATAACCTTAGTGTGAAAGGATGGTCCTTAGTGAAGTAATATTGCTTTAACCTTAGTGTGAAGGGATAGTCCTTTAATATAGTGAAGTAATATAGCTTTAACCATGGTGTGAATATATGGTCCTTAGTACTGTTCAACTTAAATTAGATTATCAGATAAATCATTGTTAATACATAAATGGGGGGTTTTATGACCTCAATTATTTAATATTATACACATGTTAAAAGTTCTTTTGAATAGGGAATAAAACCTCAGTATGAGACTAAGTATATGGTTCACACTGTAATGCTTTCATATTTTGTTGTGTATGTATTCTGTACGTCATTGATAACAACAGTTATAAAGTATTATTACTTCACATCTTTTGTCCTCTTTCTGGTCACTACTGATGACTGATTGTATGGTAGATTTAAACCTCCGGTAACAACATGCTCCTCTCATGGCTAGATCTTGACATGCTGATAGGGTCAAAAAATTATTGGCATTCCCTCCACAACCTGGAAACATAAATGTCATGATATACCAACATTTAATTTTAAATTTTCATTAAGAACGGAACAAGAAGAAGACAGAAAAAGTGTTAAATATAATATTATTTTTTAAATAAAACAATAAATTTTTTTGTGATTTTCAATTAGTAACTTATGGTTTACTTATTGCAGTTCTACCAGGGAATAAGCAATTTCACTGACTACTTAGTTTCAAAAGAGGATAAATGGTCCTTTCAAAGTATTTGGAGGCAGAAAAGGATATACAAACAATTGACCAACCTACCTGTAAAATTAAAAGGCAAACATATCTCCTCAAATCTGTCATAGTAGTATCTCTGTACTGTCTGGTTACAATTCCCTGGCTCTGGAGGTAGTACACAGGGGTTAACTCTGACTTCACATGTGGGGCCATCCCATGGAGTGATGCATATACACTGGTAACTGTTATATCCAGTCTCTCGACAGTAGCCATTGTTCTTACAAGGGGCACTGCTACAAGGGGCTACAAAGACAACAAATAATAAACAGCTTGTATTTATACAATCGGCATCATAAAACTATCAGTAGAAAGACAGACAACAACATGACCAAAGAAAACAGATAAACAAAAAAAAACAACTGTCCACAACACACTACACTGAAAATTAAGCCGTACAAAAACCAGAGTTAATCTCAGATACTCTAAACAGGTAAACAGTTGCAGGCTGGTCCTATATCTTAAGGTAGATAAAGGGAGATAAATCCTAAAGTTAGTAAACTAGATTAGAAATAAGCATAAAATATACAATTTTTATATTCATAGAAAGAGAAATATTGGTCTTTGTCCATTGGTGAAGGTTGTACATGTGATATATAAATAGTTCACTTTTTTATCCCTTGGTTTTTGTTGGCTTATTGGCTTATTGCCTGTATACCAATTCATCTCCTTAATACTGTAGAAACACTAATTTCCGTGGGGTTAAAATTTCGTGGTTTTGTCTCTATATAAGATTTCACTGGGATTTAATTTCGTGTTTTCCAATAAATGGAAGTGATATAATATGAAGGTTAAATTTTTGTGGGGGTTTTAATTTCGTGGATACATTCTTTCCACGAAATAAACGAAATTAAATCCTCCACACAAATTTCTGCTTTTACAGTAATTTGTACTTTGTATTGTAAAATAATGTGACTACTTACAGGTACAGTTTGAGACATCAGATCTTGTCCTACATTGTGGTCTGCCTCTCTGTCAATATAAAGAAACCTTACAGCATTGGTAATCAATACTTTCTTACTATTATGTATAAAATAATTTGTTCAAAGCTTTTATTTTCTGAAGACAGTAATACATAATAGAAGAACTTCTTACAAAAATAATATGCAAATGCTGAAAATCATGACATGTCCACCAGAATTTAAATTTTCTGCAATCATATACATTTATGAAGTTTTAAGAAGTATGAGATTTAATAACTTTTTACTAGAATGTAGGATTTATGTAACCTTGAGTTTTAAGGTACCGAATTCAGGCTTGTACAGTCCGTCGTTTTATTCTCCAAAACTGAACCTGCCAGACAGGGGTGCGGACTATAGGGTACGATAAGCAAGAAATAAGAGAAAAAAATCGATTTCGCAGGGTTTGTTTACGTTCCGCCATGTTTGTTATTGAAATTATAGAGGGCACTCTTATCATTTTCAAAACTAATAATTTTACCTAATCCATATTAATATGTAATTTTCATTCAATATCAAATATAAACTGTTAAATTTCAAAATTAAATGCATTTATATGTTTAGGAGTTTAGTGTGACGTCCATTTTCACTGAACTAGTACACATTTTTGTTCAGGGGCCAGCTGAAGCCCGCCTCCGTGTGCGGGATTTTCTCACTTAGTTGAAGACCCATTGGTGGCCTTTTGCTGCCTTTCTGCTCTTTGGTTGGGTTGTTGTCTCTTTGACACATTCCTCATTTCCATTCTCAATTTTATTCACTACAAATTTCTTGTTTCTTTTCACTGCATTGCTTAAAATAAACTGCGATCTGCTTGAATTTAACGGAACGAAAAAAGTGTACAAGTCAACCAGGAACCAGCTTATGCATAACGATGTATAAACTACAAAACGTATTCGGTTATTAATGTTCTGTTTTGGTGTTTCATACTGACGCATGTGTTTTGTTTTAGCTTAAGATCCTTCAAACATTAATGTGATAGATATGTTAAACATTATTATACTCAAGGATGGAACTGTTTTACTTTCAAAGTCGTATTCTAGTGATATCTATTAAGTAAGGATTTTCTGTACACTCTCATCGTATTTATTTTTATTTACACGTTTTTCGAACTTCCGGTTTAAACATACACAAGTTTCTAAATTTTTTTTTTGGTGATTTTGACTTATTTTAAAGCTCGTGAAGTGTTCTAGAATCATTTACAAGCATTTTCAACTTCTATTTAATGATGGAAAATGAGTTTTTCCATTAAAATACCGCAATCGACCACACACGATTTGAAATTACTGGAGTTTTATTAGACATTTTCTAACAGTTACAAGAAGTTTTTTCCTGAATTCTAGTGGCAAGAAGGGGGGGGGGTGCTGACGATGTACTAGTGCGAACTATGCAAGGCCGATTACGGTATCCCAAACACCTATTTTGGAGAAAAAGGAACCCAGTGTCTAGCCTACTTTTGCTGTTGTCTATGTTTTCAGTGTGATAGGGGAATGCACATAATAGATTTACAGTAAATGAAATAAAACTTTTGAAATGTATGAAAAAAGTTATGCTTGTACAAAATGAATACAGTGTGCAATCAAATCTATAGATTGACTGGAAGACAAAAGTCGCAGGCTCAACAAAAATGGGGAAAAAATTATTAAAAATTTTCCTCTAGATACTATCTTTTGATTGTAAGAAGCTTCTGTCCAAGTTTGGTAAAAATCCAGTTTATGAATCTAATAAATGTTTTAAAAACTTTAACTGCAGACTGTATGTAATGTGAACTGGAAGAAAAACTAAGTCCATTTATAAGTAATATACGGAAAAACAGGAAATAATTTTTTACAAAATTTCCTTCTAGATACTAGCTTTTGATCATAAACAAGCTTCTGTCCAAGTTTGGTACAAATCCTGGGGATAGTTTAAGAAAGTTATTAAAATTTCTAAAACTTTAACCACAGAGTGAATATTTGTGGACGTCGCCGCCGCCGACGGAATGTAGGATCGCTATGTCTCGCTTTTGCGACAAAAGTCGCAGGCTCGACAATAAAGGATATCTTGAATAAACAAAGATACTGAACATTTTCAGTTATTTAAAGTAATTAATTTACTGAAATTCAGTTCACAACAAGAATTCTACAAAATGCTTGATTGCTAATACATACATCCAGTCTTAAAGGTGTTTTTTGAAAATGTGAGAGATATGAAATAGCATGCAACCCATAAACAAGACACATTACATATTGTCTTTATAGATAACAATATGCAATAATACATGTTGAATAGTCATCGTACAGAAATTCTTAGTAGATTTTGAATAATACTTATATACTTACTCTACAATTACATATGACACAACGACCTTCCTCCCAATTTTGACTTTCATCATATGTTCTGCTGCCAATAGTGCATTGTGGGTAACATACACATGTATCTTCCAAGTGTCGTACTTTGGATCTTAAATCAGTATTCTGAAATTAAGCAAAGAAATAGTATACAAACGATATAGATGGTGAAGGTACTCAAATATTCCCTTTAATTTCTTTGAAAGAAATAGCAATTTTGCAACCAAAGTACTTTTTTATTGGGATTCTTAGTGAAAGAAGCTATTTCTTTTAATCGATTTCAAAGTCTATCAATATGATCAAAAGGTCTCTGTAAATAAAAAGACAATGGAAAATTTAAGTGTTGATTCTGAATATTCCATGTCCGCTAAGGGTGAATATGTATGTTTATCAACAGGGTTGTCTGTCATAACTTTCAAATAAGATTTTATAATAGAAAGAGAGGGACACACAATATCGCTAAGAGATACCGTTTAAAATAAAGCAAGATTTATTGAAAAGGAATAATAAAGATCTGTGCTAATTAGATACAGCTCGAAACTTAATTTTCTGAAATTTTTCATGACTGAGACATGCAACACATGCACATGCAGAATATTTTACAGCAGCCAAGAAATCACTTGTAGTGTTATTTTGAGACTTTATAAATACATATCTCTGAAATGCATTTGACAGGCAGTAGAGTTATCTTATACTCTGCCAGGAACTAATCAAGTATTTAAAATTATACAGAAGGAATTGCAATAAAATTGATAAATTCAGAGGCTGTAAAATGAAAATAACTTTTAAACTTCTCCCTCAATATATCAAGTTTTATTTAAATTTAACCTTTAAAACAGCAGTAAAATGCCAAGATGTCCAAACCTGTTAAAATTTGACTTAATATCTGTCATAAAGATGATGTAATATCTCATTATCTTAAGATTATACCTCTGTAGTTAAACTATCTACAGAAAACTTTAGCTGAGAAATTCTATCATCTTCCAAACTATTTCTGGAGACCTGGATACTGTTTGCTAGTAGAGAGTTTAACCGCTTGTCTGTGGTACCAAGAGAATTAAATATTCTGTCATCATTTTGAACTAGTTCCGCTGAAAAATAGAAGTATTTAAGTTTAGTGATTGTAAGGGAATGAAATAATTGTTTTAAAGAGTTTAGCAGTAACTTATCATTAGGCCTTTTCAGCAGAAAAAATAAGGACTGTGATAGGATGGGCCTCATGTGAAGTTGTGAAATACAAACAAATACTGAAAATTTCATAAATAAAAAATGAGAAAAGCTTCTACACGACTATGGCAAGCCGTTTTTATATTTATTTAATTTCAAGATATCTTATAAAGAAAATAAGATATCTTATAAAGTATATAAGATATCTTCTAATGTTTATAAGATATCTTATTTAATTTGAATCTAATAAGATATCTTATTTATTTTATAAGATATCTTATTAACTTTTAAAGATATCTTGTATTGTTTATAAGATATCTTATATCTTTTTAAAGATATCTTTTAAACAAATACTTTATGAGATATCTTGTATAGTTTATAAGATATCTTTAAAAGTATATAAGATATCTTATTTACTTTATAAGATATCTTATTAACTATATAAGATATCTTATTAGTTATACAAGATATCTTATATGATTGATTTATCAGATATCTTATTTAGTTAATAAGATATCTTATTTAGTTTATCAGATATCTTATTAACTATATAAGATATCTTATTTAAAATAGCATTATTAAATAAATTCAACAATGAACGCTCCCTCTTGAACTACGAGGCAGTAAATAGATCATGTGATCGCACTTTCAAAATGGCAGTTGAGAAGAGTCGGTCATTAATAAATATTCGAGATGTTAATATCCAGAAAGCATATGGGTGTAATAATACTATTAGAAATGACAAACTGCGACCTGAATTAATTCTTGGCCTTGAGATTAATCGCGTTACAGACACGTTAGCTGTTTCAAAAAGTGTATATTAACTTTTGCAATCAGAATAAAAACGATTTTTTGGCGTCCTAAAGTATGGTTCTTGAGCTCTCTTGTATAGTTTATGTTTGATGTGTTTGAGCTTTTGATGTTGCCATTTGGTTAGGGACTTTCCAATTTGAATTTTCCTCGGAGTTCGGTATTTTTGTGATTTGGTTTTTTTTCAAGCTATTTGAAATATGACATATCATCTAAAAAAAAAACCAGTTACTGTATATAAAATCTGTTGACTTTGATGCAAGTGATAATCAAGGAAAGATCGTGATGAAAAACACCATCAAAATATAATAACCGTAAGCTTACAAAACGTTTTTTGTCATATTTGGATAGAATAAAAGAAAGGTATGGTTAAAAGAATATAAAGTATGTTCATAAAAAATGTAGATCAAATATGACCATGCCAGCACAAGTGACTTCTTTAAAGAATTTGAAACATCCCCTAGTTTTTGTATCATGTCAGTTTGTGAACTAAGTCTCATTCCTGTTACTATTTCTGGCTGCCGAATTCTGAAAGGAAGAACATTTTGAATTTATCAAAGAAATCCCCCCCCCTCTCCCAAAAAAAAAACCCCAAAAAAACAACTGGAATTTCATAAAATATTTTAATTCTTGATAATAATTTCGTAAATTCTTATTTCTAGATAAACAGAAAACAGATTGAAATGAGATTGGCAATACATTTTAAGTGAGACTTATATAGATATATTTCATTTTAAATAAAATATCTTTTACAGTAATTAAGATATCTTATATATTAAATAAGATATCTCATTCATTAAATAAGATATCTTTATTATTAAATAAGATATCTCATTTATTAAAAAAGATATCTTAATTATTAAATAAGATATCTTAATTATTAAATAAGATATCTTAATTATTAAATAAGATATCTTATATATTAAATAAGATATCTTATATATTAAATAAGATATCTCATTTATTAAATAAGATATCTTAATTATTAAATAAGATATCTTAATTATTAAATAAGATATCTTATATATTAAATAAGATATCTTATATATTAAATAAGATATCTCATTTATTAAATAAGATATCTCAATTATTAAATAAGATATCTCAATTATTAAATAAGATATCTTATATATTAAATAAGATATCTTATTTAACAAATAAGATATCTCATATATCAAATAAGATATCTTATATATTAAATAAGATATCTGATAAACTAAATAAAATATCTTATATATATTTCATATATCAAATAAGAATCTACAAAACAATAAACAATTATAATTAACTCTTTTTGATATTAAAATTTTCTTTACTGGTAGTAAACTGTTACTTTCATATCATTGCAATTTTTCCTGCTTGAAGCACATTAAACAAATTTCATTCATATTGATAGGGAGCAAGGAATTGCTTTTTTTTCTTTCGTTTATCGTGAAATGATCATTAACAACCTCCGTGGAAATGCACATACACCTTTCCCCCCCCCCCCCCATTTTTAGTAATTTGTATGTCAACAACAAGCACTTCCATTTAATACAGCCGTGAATAAATGTTTGCCAATAAAATTTAAGGCTTAATTGATAACAAAAATGGAGAAAACAAGTATTGAAATAAAGCTAAAGTCCATTGAAGACCTGTTGGTGACCTTCTGCTGTTGTCTGTTCTATGGTCGGGTTGTTGTCTCTTTGACACATTCCCCATTTCCATTCTCAATTTGACTAAAGTGCACAGTAATCATTTTGACATAATGCGGATGATCAGGTATCATCAGTTGTAATCAAATCAAATAAACCGTTAACCAATTAGAAATTTTGGTTATTATATGGGTGCATGCGAATTAAAATGAAAGATAATTTTCTCTTTTTATTGTGAAATTAAATATTAATTTTACATAACGGTGGCGAAACAGAAGTCATTTTTCATGATATATTATTGTCAAGTGAGTGGTAAAGGACACTTAATTTTTTATTCTACTCCATTGGAGGTGTGCCTACACTGGCAGAATCTATAATACAGATACAGATACAAATTAGCAATATCGATCTGAATTGCTATTGATTTTATGATTGGTCAATCTCTTTTCCAACATAAAGGGATACTTTATTTCAAGTCTTAAAAAGAAAGGAAGATATCTTATATAGTTAATAAGATATCTTATTTAGTTTTAAAGATATCTCATTAAGTTTATAAGATATCTTTATAAGAAACTATATAAAAGATATCTTATATAGTTTATAAGATATCTTATAAACTTAATAAGATATCTTTTAAACTAAATAAGATATCTTATTAACTAAATAAGATATCTTATATGTTAAATAAGATATCTTTATAAACAGTTTAATAAGATATCTTATTTAATTATCAAGATATCTCAATTCATTTATAAGATATCTTATTTGATTATAAAGATATCCGATTTAACTTAATAAGATATCTTGAAAGTGAATAAATATAAAAACGGCTTGCCATACACGACACTAGTCAATAATTGAACAGATGTAAATGTATATCTTTTATTTGCTACATTTAATTTGATAATATATGTACAAGTGGAAATGAGTCATATTATTTACAAACAAATAGTTTAAACATTAAGTATGTTAATTATCCTCTAACATTAGAAATCAATACATTAAAGCACCCCAATGTCAAGTTTTTATCCCCTGAACACCTGGCTTAACTGACAAATGCAATACACAGACAGGTAGACTTGCAATACACAAGATTATTAACTTTGTTGTAAAGACCATATTACCTCTGGTTATGTAAGGGTATAGACACATTAGATATAAGTCTCTTGATTTATTACACTTGGTGTCAGAATTCTTTAGTTCTTGTGAAATGCTTAGATCTTTGATTGTTTTACATGCAATCAAGGTGTAATAAACGAAAGTTGTATAATTGATGTTGTTTGAATATACAATCCATCTGAAGTATTGGTTTGATGTCAGTGTAGCTAGACAGACTTCATCAACAATTAAATAACAAAAGTCAAAATAATCTCCTATGTTGCTTTTCAATTATATTTCAATTTGGGCTTCAAAAGAATAACAAATTTGGAATTGACATTCAATGATAATGTGCAAATTCTTGATTATATTGGAGTATCAACACTTTAACAATATTACATTTAGATTTTTTTACAAATTTATAAGAATTTAACAAGATTCCCTCTTTGGAACTGCACTTTAAAAGTTATTAGTGCTCTAGTTCTTATCATCACCTGGAATCTTGCTGATTCCTAAAAATTATTCTATTAAAATATTTTGGAGTTTATTCATCTACATGCACCTGAAGTGTTTTTTTATTGATCAATTACTTTAAAGAAAAACACTTACAAAACTGCTGAAATCTACTTTACCTCAGATAATTGTTAATCAAAACGTGATACAATAAGCATATATCTTATATAAACAAAATATAACTGTTGAGTTCATTGCAAAATCAAATGTCCAAATAATTTTCTTAAATTGGTTATATGAATCTGTTCTATGCACTAGCAAAATGTTTTTGCGGTCTTAGATCTTTGGATACCAGTTTTGTCATCCCAATATTTTGTCCTTTTCCTGATTGTGACATTTTGACTGTGTGTGAATTTGGATGGCGGGTGATGCATGGGTAGCCTGTCAATGATTCTCTCAGTTTTTTGTTCGTTGCCTTGATTTGTCTCACTAATCGATTTAAGAGAAACCACTTTTGCCTTAATTAATGCCTTTTTTATTTTGTTATTGCCACAACTCCATTGTCATGACATCACAATGTTGTAAACAGTCTGGTTAGAAAAGCAGTTTCTTTAGATATGTTTCTGATCTGTCCATCATTCTTTCTTTTTTATTGTAATTTTATTGTTTCAATGATTCCACTCTACTTATCTTTCCCATTTGATGTCTATGATCACTTCATGAATAAAATATAAAATATCTATTAAATTGGGAACAACACAGAAAACATTACGTTTTAAGATCATATTCAAAGTGTATGACTTTTGAATTTAACAACCTACAGCACTTTATATTCAAAATAGACTTTTCCTTACACCAGGTATCCTGATCCAAAACCTTGGAATGATCAGAATCCCGAGGAGCAATTAATCAAAAGTTTGTAACAGTGG